AATTAAAACGATGGATAGCGAATCTTGAGATGTCGTGGAGGCCAGTTCAAAAAGATAGTTTAAAAACAAAACCCATCCATCAAAACATCCCTTAAGAAAATGCATTTTAAACAATATTTGATTTTATGTCGTAAAAAAAATCGTCGAATATGAAAAAGTAGAAATGATAACGGGAAATGGAAAGAATCGTGGAAATTCCGGGCGAAACGCAAGGAGCCCATCGGATTCCGCGTCGCGGAATTAACGGGACGGTTGATCGACGCGATCGAGGGTGGGTATTGGTCGATCAGAGTCCGCCAGATAAAAGGGCAGCTCGAACAATCGCGCATTAGCTAGCAATTTTTCGTTGCAAATGGCAGAATATGAAAAAAGCGATCGAGGCTTATTGTTCGACGAGTAAATAGGCTGGTTCGGGGCGTGTTAACGTTTGCCCCGATGCGTGCACGCGGAAATGGACCTTCTTTTCTCCGTGAAACTTTCATTTTTTATTTTCTACGCGAAACTTTCCCGCTTCGCGATTGGTAATTTCGATCGTGAACGCCACGAGCCATCGGAGAAAAAAGAAACAGTACCTTCGAGGATATTTATCGGGCCGCCATTATTATCCAATGCGAGAAATCTGTTTCAGATTTGTTACGAAAGTGGTTTGAATCAGGAAATATCGAAAAGAGTCAGATTTTTGTACGGTATTATATCGTATAGCTGCATACGATACATACGATAATTTGCTTTCGAACGCTAGAAAACTAGAACGTAATCGAAAATACCGATGGAAGATAAAAATATGATAAATAAAATAATTAAAAGTTCATATTTTTTTTTTTTTTTTAAAACTTTGGGGTAGACGAAAATTATTTTATAAACCTACAGTTGGTCTCCATTAAATAGTAAAAAAATTTTCTGAAATAATAGTTAGGAAGTTGCAATGGTAAAATAAATAATGTAGGAATATTCTATAATAAGATGAAACGACGAGGATCAATTAGGACACAAAGTTCGTTCGGTTTCGGTGAACTCCGAGCAGGACTAATAAAGGGACTAATAAACGCGAATAATACGTCAGAATTCCACGAGCGAATGCAAACAGTCGTGGCAAGCCAAGGCATAATCGAGAAATGCCCTAGTTATGCTTTGAACAATCACGAGCTCGGGGTAGGCGTCGCCGAAAGAGAACCGATTTCCTTCCTGTTCGCCAGGATCCGCGTTGCCTGACATTTCCACCGACGTAAGAGCGCCGCGAACGATCGGTTTCAAGTAACAACGAACGTTTGGGGCCTTTTTCGCGTGAAAATTGGAAATTTTCATCGGTATCAAGTTTGAAATTGTTCTCGATCAAAGAAATATCCCCTCCATCGTACGCTAAACCCTCTTCTATGCGTATAATTCATAAATAAGTGATTTAAAAACGACTGAATAAGTGGTTCCGTCCCGGTTTGACACGGCGAACGATCGGTTTCAAGTAACAATGAACGTTTAGGGCCTTTATCGCACGAAAATACGCAATATTCATCGCTGTCGAGTTTGAAATTGTTCTCGACCAAAGAAATATCTCCTCCATCGTACGCTAAACCCTCTTTTACGCGTATAATTCATAAATAAATAAATTAAAAACGACAGAATAAGTGGTCCCGTATCGGTTTAACGTGGCGAATGATCGGTTTGAAGTAACAACGAACGTTTGGGCCCTTATCGCGTGAAAATTAGAAATTTTCATGGCTGTAGAGTTTGAAATTGCTCTCGACCAAAGAAATATCTCCTCCATCGTACGCTAAACCCTCTTTTACGCGTTTAATTCATAAATAAATAAATTAAAAACGATAGAATAAGTGAGTCCCTCCCGGTTTGTCGCGTCGAACGCGACTACCTCGAGATTCCGGAAACGCAACAAGTTGGAAAGTCAAAGTTCTTCAGGATCCAAGTGATTTCTCTCGTCTCGCGATCGTCCAGCGGAAAATTAAACGTCCGTCGGTGTTTGCACGGATCCGTTTCTGTGTTCTTGCCACTGAGATCCCATCTGGTTGCCAATCGACGAGCTCTTAAGAAGATAAAAAGCGCGGCGAACGACAGAGGGAAATCAGATCCGAAGTTAACGCGAAAGCAAACGACGGGCATCGAGAAAGCTCTGCGGCGTTAATGTTCAAACGAAGACGATCGACGAAGCGTTAAGGATACGTCGAGGCGCGATAACGACCGATTGTTAAGAGGACCGTGGTGTGGGTTAGCGACGACGATATTCACGGCTGGCTAGGAAACAGAAGGGGAGAAAAGAAAAGCGAGAAACGATCAGGATGCGTCGATCCTGCGAGACAAATCGACGTTCTTCGACTCGAAAATAAACGCCCTACACACCCTTCCAACGGCGTTAACGCAAAGAAATTATTCGAAAGAACTTGTAACAAGTGTTGGTGGAATTTCGGATTAGATTAAAGTAAATAATTATTACAAATTATGCTCGTAAAATTACGGACGACGTATACGAGTAGACCTTACACCTTATGGACTTTCGTGGCCCAATCTAACTGCCATACCGTCCTGAAAATTCGAATTCTAGCTTTTTAAAAGCATTAAACAACATTTCCGTAGACCGACGAACAAATTTATTAAAAATGAAAAACGAATTTTTAAGAAAAATCCATAGGGGGTAGATGCAGAAATTCGGCAAAATTAAAAATTTTTCAAATCGTTCTAAAAAAATTATTTTTAGTTACGGGGGTCAATTACAATCATTTTTGGTCAGTAGACATACCCCCGGAATCCTACCCATTTTCGAGGAAAAAATTCGAGTAAGTGAAGAAATTTTCCGTCGAAATTAAAAAGTTTCAAATTATTCTAGAAAAATTATTTTTAGTTACGGCGGTCAATTACAATCATTTTTGGTAAATAGACATACCTCGGAAATCCTAGCCACTTTCGAGAAAAAAAATTCTTTATCGAAAATATAATGTGTGGCCAGAATTGCTTCATCGAAATTTCATGCATATGTTTAAAAAATCGTAACTTCTGAACGGATTGGACGATTTTAAAGTTTCAAAATGCAAACAACGAGTATTTTAGAGTAGAATATGTAGACAGTCCAAAAATATTTGAAACGTTGCTCCTTAACACCGTAAAGTGTGAAAAATTTCATAAAAATGGTCCAATTTTCAAAACAGCCATAACTTCTACTATAGTGAATATATTTCAATGAAACCTTTTTCTAAAGTAGAGCTCATTGATACCTACAAAAAAGTGTTAGACAATTTTTCTGTGAGGCGTCAAACAAATTTATTAAAAATCGAAAACAAATTATTATGAAAAATCGCCAGGGGGTGCCTAAATTCTTCCAAGACAAAAAAATTCAAAAAAATATTTTCTATTGCAGGGGTCAATTACAATTATTTTTGTTGAGTAGACATACCCCCGAATTCCTAGTCACTTTCGAGGAAAAAATTCGAGTAGGTATGAAATTTTTCGACGAAAAAAAATTTGTTCGAATCGTTCGGAAAAAATTATTTTCACTTCCAGGGATCAATTAGATCCCTTTTTTGGTCAGTAGACATACCCCGAAATCCTACCCACTTTCGAGGAAAAAATTCGGCTATGTTCTGTAATTTTTCAGCGAAATTAAATAATTTCAAATCGTTCTAAAAAAATTATTTTTAGTTACGGGAATCAATTACAATCATTTTTGGTCAATACACTTACCCCCAAAATCCCATGCATTTCCGAGAAAAAAAATTCTTCCCTCGCCCTATGTACATTTAATTTTAATTCCAGTCCCTCTCACCCCCCGAAATATTCTACAATTTTTCTTTAAAATTGGTTAGACGGATGATGTTTGTCAGAAAGTACAAGTTCGCGGTCGACTTGTTGCACGATAAATCACTGTGGCCCCTAGAAAAATTAGCGGTGTAATCGTTAAGTGATTACTTTCTCGACTCCGTGCTGTCGCTGTCACCGTTATATCGTCCGCTGATACGTTTTATGTTCTCAAGAGATACCGTTATCCCCGGGCCAATAAATCTTTCTCCGAATCCGGTTCGTTCATTCAGCAGTTCTCATTTTTCTTCGAGCGTTTCGCTCTCCCCCGCGTTTGATCGAGTCGATCACGAGTTTCGCCGTGATTTTCGGCAACACCGGCTCGTATAATTTTCCGAGATATTTCGATTCTAAGCGCGCACGGTCGACTCGAACGTATGATGGACGAGCGTCAAATAGGGAAGAGATCCATTTCTGACCCCGCGATATAATAATGCCGGCTCCGATTCATCTTGCGTTTCGGGGATTAGTTGGTGTTTACCGAATTACCGTGGCCAGAAGCTTGCTGGCTCGAACTTGCAAGATTGATGGCAATTAACGCTGGAACTAACGACAATTATGGTGTACTTATTCGTACCAAAGAAATTGACACGATGGATGCTTGAATAAATGTATAACGGAATGGAAATAAGCGTTCGATTCACTTTCTTTCAAAGAACTACGATAAATTTTCAGAAATTCAGTCGAGTGAATTTTTTACAATTTTTATTAGAAATCATGAATGGGTCATTTTGATCACTTTGGCAGTTCTATGGTTAACACTGGAACTATCGACAATTATAGTGTGTTTATTTGCACCAAAGAAATTAAAACGATGGATAGTGGATCTTGAGATGTCGTGGAAGTCACTTCAAAGAAGATAGTTTAAAAAAAAAAAACGCATTTAAATATCAGTGATATGCTTTTGCACATATATTTTTGAGACTACTAATTCAGGCGAGTAAATTTTTTACAATTTTTATTAGAAATTACGAATGGGTCATTTTGACTGGTTTGGTAGTTCTAGTTTTAAAGATCTTTTATGGAAATTTATGGAATAAAAAAAGTAAGGCATCAGTACTCGATCTTGTAACTATAGAAACCAACACCGACGGATTAATTTTATGTACTCTGTTTATGGAATATTAAAAAATTGTTACATTTTTAAGCGTCTAAACGTGAAAATGGAGTCCCGTTAACGTTATTGTCGATGAAATTTTCAGCGACAACGAGGATCGAGGGAATGACGGCAAGGCCCAGCGCAAAACGGACGGGATTGTGTCTGCTGACACTGTTGTTGTCCTGCTTCTACAGCGGCAACGTCCTCGTAGCCGGGGAACCGGAACCGATTCCGTCTGAGCTGCTCGACACCGACGACAGTTTCAACACCGATAACTACGTAAGTCCACGACTCCCCCACTCTATTTCATATTTAACCCCTTAGCTTACAATGGCGTCTCAGAGACGTGATAAGTCTACCTATAAGGACCAAACCTTGGTGTCGCTTTTGGCACTCACAGTTGGAAATTAAATCGTAAGGCAAGGTTAAGAAAAAAAGGATATATTTCTACTCAATTTGATATCTTTAACCCCTAGTCGTACAATTACGACTCTGACTCGTTACAATGTCTTAATATCAAGCTATACAATGAGGCTACTTGTCATCGAGTCTCATACAGGGTGTTCGGATAACCTTGGGAAAAATTTTAATAGAGGATTCTAGAGGCCAAAATAAGACGAAAATCAAGAATACCAATTTGTTGATGGAGGCTTTGTTAAAAAGTTATTAACGTTTAAAGTTTTGCTAATACTGAATTTTTTTCTCGAAAATGCGCAAGATTTCGGGGGTATGTGTAATGACCAAAAATGATTGAAATTGACCCCTGCAACCGAAAATAATTTTTCCAGAAAGATTTGAAATTTTTTAATTTTGTCGAGAAATTTCATACCTTCTCGAATTTTTTCCTAGAAAATGGGTAGGATTTCGGAATTATATTTATTCAACAAAAAAGGTTGTAATTAATCCCCGCAACCGAAGGCAATTTTTCCAGAAAGATTTGAACTTTTTTAATTTTGTCGAGAAATTTTATAGATTCTCCAATTTTTTTCTCGAAAATGGGCAGGATTTCGAGGGTATGTCTATTCACAAAAAATGATTGAAATTCACCCCCGCAACCGAAAATAATTTTTCTAGAACGATTTGAAATTTTCTTTTTCCGTCGTAAAATTTCACACCTTCTGGAATTTTTTTCTAGAAAGTGGGTAGGAATTCGGGGTTATGTCTATCCACCAAAAACGATTGAAATTCACCCCCGCAACCGAAAATAATTTTTCCAGAACGATTTGAAATTTTGGAATTTAATTGTTAATAACTTTTTAACGAGGCCTCCATCAACAAATTGGTATTCTTGATTTTCGTCTTATTTTGGCCTCTACAATCCCTAATTAAAATTTTTTCCAGGAGTGACCGAACACCCTGTGTATTAAAATCAATACATTTTTATATTCACCAGATATTCGTAAAACAAATCTATTCTTTTTCGTGGCCATTCCTAGCACGAATACGTTTAACACTTTGACTGTAACGTCACCCATATATGGGTGAAAGGTTTTACCATTAGGATACTAGAAAAATGAATTCTCAAGTTAAGAGTTAGAGAAAAATAAATTTGAATAGAATTTTTGAATTTTAACAACAAATTTTAGGTTATGTAGCTTACAATGGTCTAAAATAAAAATTTTAGCTTTGCAGAATATTATACGGTTTTGATCTGGCAGTGAATGTGTTAAACAAAATTAAATAGTATACGTTTGAAAAGATATTTGAAATTAAATCGTACGTCAAAGGGTTAAAAAAAAAAAAAAAATATAACGTCGTTTGCGTTACCGCAGATCCTGTGGAACAGACTGAAGCACGTGATCCAGGCGAGGAAGGACACGTTCGAGAGGGGGAAGGAACTCGAGGAAGAGCAGATGATTATTCAATCGGCACTGGAAACCAGGGCGAAGGTCAAGTCGCGACTCCCCCCTGGCGACTACTCCGCCGAGGAACTTCCGACGCCCAACGCGATGGTCAGCCAACCGCGGCGTTCTGAGAAACGGACCACCCTAAACTGTAAGTCACCCATCGACCATATTGAATAGAGAAATAAAGATTGACCTCGGCTTAAACGCGATATGGATAACAAAATGGGTTCGCGAGCTCAACCATTTTGTTCTTTTTTAATTTTATTCGAAATAAAAATGCAAATCCAAACTGTAAGTTCGCCTTCAATTATATTGCATGGAGAAAGAAAAATCAACCTCAACTTAAAAGGAACATAGATACCAATATGGGTTTACAATCTCTTCCATTTTGTTTTTTTCTAATTTTATTTGAAATACAAATGCAAATCCAAACTGCAAGTGCCTCTTCAATTATATTGCATATAGAAAGAAAAATCAACCTCGACTTAAAAGGAACATAGATACCAAGATGGGTTTACAAGCTCCTCCATTTTGTTTTTTTCTAATTTCATTTGTAATACAAATGCAAATCCAAACTGTAAGTTCGCCTTCAATTATATTGCATGGAGAAAGAAAAATCAACCTCAACTTAAGAGGAATATAGATAGCAAGATGAGTCAACAAGCTTCTCCATTTTGTTTTTTTTAAATTTTATTTGAAATTCAAATGCAAATCCAAACTGTAAGTTCCCCTTCAATTATATTGCATATAGAAAGAAAAATCAACCTCAACTTAAGAGGAATATAGATAGCAAGATGAGTCAACAAGCTTCTCCATTTTGTTTTTTTTAAATTTTATTTGAAATTCAAATGCAAATCCAAACTGTAAGTTCCCCTTCAATTATATTGCATATAGAAAGAAAAATCAACCTCGACTTAAAAGGAACATAGATACCAAGATGGGTTTACAAGCTCCTCCATTTTGTTTTTTTCTAATTTCATTTGTAATACAAATGCAAATCCAAACTGTAAGTTCGCCTTCAATTATATTGCATGGAGAAAGAAAAATCAACCTCAACTTAAAAGGAACATAGATACCAAGATGGGTTTACAATCTCTTCCATTTTGTTTTTTTCTAATTTTATTTGAAATACAAATGCAAATCCAAACTGCAAGTGCCTCTTCAATTATATTGCATATAGAAAGAAAAATCAAACTCGACTTAAAAGGAACATAGATACCGAGATGGGTTCACAACCTTCTCCATTTTGTTTTTTTCTAATTTTATTTGAAATACAAATGCAAATCCAAACTGTAAGTTCGCCTTCAATTATATTGCATGGAGAAAGAAAAATCAACCTCAACTTAAAAGGAACATAGATACCAAGATGGGTTTACAATCTCTTCCATTTTGTTTTTTTCTAATTTTATTTGAAATACAAATGCAAATCCAAACTGCAAGTGCCTCTTCAATTATATTGCATATAGAAAGAAAAATCAACCTCGACTTAAAAGGAACATAGATACCAAGATGGGTTTACAAGCTCCTCCATTTTGTTTTTTTCTAATTTCATTTGTAATACAAATGCAAATCCAAACTGTAAGTTCGCCTTCAATTATATTGCATGGAGAAAGAAAAATCAACCTCAACTTAAAAGGAACATAGATACCAATATGGGTTTACAATCTCTTCCATTTTGTTTTTTTCTAATTTTATTTGAAATACAAATGCAAATCCAAACTGTAAGTTCCCCTTCAATTATATTGCATATAGAAAGAAAAATCAACCTCGACTTAAAAGGAACATAGATACCAATATGGGTTCACAACCTTCTCCATTTTGTTTTTTTCTAATTTTATTTGAAATACAAATGCAAATCCAAACTGCAAGTGCCTCTTCAATTATATTGCATGTAGAAAGAAAAATCAACCTCAACTTAAAAGGAACATAGATACCGAGATGGGTTCACAACCTTCTCCATTTTGTTTTTTTCTAATTTCATTTGAAATTCAAATGCAAATCCAAACTGCAAGTTCCCCATCAATTATATTGCATGGAGAAAGAAAAATCAACCTCGACTTAAAAGGAACATAGATACCAATATGGGTTCACAACCTTCTCCATTTTGTTTTTTTCTAATTTCATTTATAATACAAATGCAAATGTAACGAGTAAAGATTCGGTCTTGTTTTGTTAAAAATTTAAGCAAAATTAAATAATACACTAAATTTCGTTACACAAAAATCGTTACCTTCCCTCGTTTTAAGACTACCAACAGTTCCGGTCGCTTTGAAGCGATTATTACTATGGTGCACACTCCCCGTGATAAAAGAGTTAATCGTCCCCGGTTTTCGTAAGAGCAATATTCCCAGTTAGAATTTTCTTAGTCGAGGACTTACGTCGGATTAGCCCCGCCCACGTTGGCACGCGGACAGACTCGAATCCGGGATTCGAAGTCGTCAAGCATCGTCGCGATTTCGAGCAAAAGAGGAATCAACTTGTCCCGCAGTTTGTGTTCGTCTGACGAAATTTCGAAAGCTACCACGTTTCCTCGTAGCGTTCGTTCGCGATTAAGTACAGAACGTTCCCGGAGGCGCGCGTGCCTGGTATGACAACGAATCTCTGACCGGAGAAAACGCCAAATCCGAGTCTATTCCGGTCGCGGAAATTGCATCTTAATCGAACGAGCCTAACCTCGAGTTCTTTGTTACTCGGAGGCTTTGCCAATCCCATTATATCGATATGATCACTATGGTGGTCACCGGTGACCGGCGCGTAGAAACATATTTCACGTTTCAAAATTAATTTTAGGTTATATTTTTTCGAATAAATAATTTCAGTCATTCGTAAATACTTTAACGGTTATTGGTAATCGCGAATTTCGTTTGGGACGGGGAGTCGAGAATTTGCGTGGAACGATCGAGCATCGAGGAGTCGGTAAACTAATCGATTACGCCAATTGACTTTTAATTCACGTGACGCCAGAGCCGTCGATTCTATCGCTGGAAGACGCTAACTCATTAAGAACGGCGCCAGACGAATTCCCACTGTAACCATCTTAAAAAATCTATATTGTTCTTTTAAAATACATTCAACGAATGGACCCTAATACTCTTAAAATGTTAAATAACATTACTGTAATTGGGAATGTTACGAAATATCAAGGACGCCAGTGAACTTAAAAATATTCCTATAGACATGATAGCCAATGTGTTAACTGTTAAAACAGGTGGAATGGTTAAAATAGGTATAACATAACTTAAAATATTGCCTGCCATATTAAGTAAATTATTAAAACGTTTTGAAAATTTGTTGTGTAAGTAGTAAAAATGTGTAAAGTACGTGGGACGTATACAATCAACAGAGAAACGTTTAATAAAGACTGAGAATTTGGCTGGCGCTTGTATCGTCTTTCAGAGGTTAACTCGTCAACTGCCTTAATGGTTACCCGTGAACAAACTTCAGTAAATAACATTACTATCGTTACAAATGCTACAAAATAACAACTATTGAACCATTGAATATTTTAACTTTCGCACTACTACTAACGTGTTAAATGTATCACGTTAATAAACAGCAACATTTGAGAATGTTTTGTCAATGTTGTTTAACAATCGTATGTTGCATTCGACAGATGCCGTGACCCTGTGCCACTTCAAGATCTGCAACATGGGACGCAAGCGGCAGTTGCACAAATAAAAACCGGTAAATAGATCATTCACGGACAGCGGCCACGTCGAGAATGGTCGAGCCTCTTGCGCGGTGCACCCTCTGCCGCGAAAAACAACCGAAATCTGCGCGCGCAGCACAAAAAGCGGGAAGACAGTACCACAAGAAACTTCGGAGATGACGTCACGACGCAGCGGTGCAGCACGAACGAGAGCAGCAGCGACATCTTACATCAGGCGTAACCAACTATTCAACCACCGACGAACACAATCTCCGGAACATCTTTTGCGAATATTCATGCGACTCTGTCGAGCAAATGATTCGAAATCTCAACGGTACGCGAAAGCTCCATCTCTCGAAACTTCCCACGCACTTCGACGATCCATCGAGGCGGTCAGAGATGGGCAAAATTTTAGGTAAAGAAGTCCGAACAACGGAATAAAAGATAACTTCGATTCGATGAAAATTAGAATAACCGTTCGAATGGATCTCGCGAATAATAACTTCGGTGTCGGTGGTTTTTCGCACCTTTCTGTATCACAATCGTTTCGATGAATTCTTATTCTTTTACAATTTCCATTTATTTCTCAAAACAACCAAAAAGTCATTAGTCTCGGAAGTATTAAAATATTACATTGGTTCGTTAAGAACTATTGAAATACATATTGTTTCTATAAAACAACCACGAAATCTTATTACTATGTTGCTATTCTTATTATAATTAATAGAAACTCTTCAGGAGGTTAAGGACTCTTAATTTAATCGAATAATCACCGACACCAAAATAATTAGTTTCAAGTCCTTGCTGGAATCGTATCAAAACTCTAGATAATTTCCTAGAACGTACGACGTTATCTATCAGAACTTTATGCGAATTATGGATTATTAAATGTGCTAAGCTTTCCACCTCGAGATCGATCGGGAACTTTCGAGCGATCGAGCTCAGAATTTCGTACCGCGTGGAATGAAACTAACCAGACTCGCGTCGCCCTTTCCAATTCTGCACTGTGACCGCGACGAACATTTTCCGAAGCTTCCGTGCGTAGTTCGCTCATTCGAAGACGAGATGGCGTGTTCCGACTGGCTCGGACGCGCCACGACCAGGAATGTTCGATTTTTGCGTAGAAAAAAATCGATTCTGGAGTCGATTTCGAATCGAGATGACTGGAATCGATTAACTAAAAAATCGAGTAATGGAAAATCAATTCGAAACATCCTTTTTATCGATTATATTTCATCCAGATAGAAAACAAACTCGGGTAAACAAGACCACATGTTTTCGCCCAAAAGTAGATCGTTATTATATTTTTATTTTTATATATATATATATGTTGTCTCTTAGTGACATATCCGTTAGAAAATTGTAATTATTAGACGTAAATGGTAACTAGCATAACCTTTATTAAAGTTTGGATGTATGTGAATTTGTTTACCCGAATGTATATCGTCTCGCTGGACGAATTATATATATATGGCGCCATCTATCGCGGCGACCATAAATATTTTCATTTCTTTTCATGATACAAAAAAGTGTCTCAGGGAGATATTATTTTTGTCTCGAAGGGACAAGTATTATTGTAAACAAAATCTTGTTCTCAAGATAGCAGTTTTCGAAATTTCAAGATGATCGGCATTTTAAAAGAACGAAAGGCCGGATTTTCATTATCACAGTATTGCAACTGACGGAAAAAGCGAATTCAACCATTCACGACAATGGTTGTTTTCTTCTCGCCGGGTGAACCATAAAACTATATTTGACACATACTCTGATATCTTTAGGTTAGCTTATTTAAGAGACGTTACGAAGGAAAAAAATTAACCAAAAATTTAGTGGTAAATTAATCGCTGTTTATTAGTCATTCGATGGTAGGGAAGTTAAAAAATAGTAAAATTCATAATCGTTTTGTTGGAAGGGACGTTCCCCGCAGCTTCTAGATAATCCTACGATTCGATCATTTTTATGGGAATGTCCAATCAGAAAAATTTGGAGGCTCCAACGAGATCACTCGTTTTTATTCCAAGAAGAGGAAATTAAATTTACGTAAAATTTAATAAGAAAAAAGAAGAACAAAATTTATGCTACACGAGAGGCTGGACTTATCGACGATCGATTAACTAAAACGAATCGATCGAAAAAAATCGATAGACGCCTGGAAGAAGATCGATTTTCTAGAAAATCGATTCAGAATCGAGCATCCCTAGTCCCGACCGTCGATAACACAAAAGATGGAACGACGAGAGCGAAGAACGAACGCTTGTAGTATTCTGCAGTATAATAATTTCATCCAGCGATCGAGGACACTGCAATCGTGACCAAAACAAGATAATAACGTTCGAATAATTGTAAAATAACCGAATGGTACTAAACCTTGTACAGGTTATCCAACCAAATAAGAATTAGGTAACCAGATCTGACCCAAAATGGCTAACCTTAGAAAAAAAAATATGGAATACGAATCGAAGTCGAAGCACAGAGAAAGAAACGTTTAACGAGTGAAGTGTCCTCGACGTGCCATTTGACGAGAAATCAAAATGGCGGATAGGTATTTATTCGTTAGCTTTAAGTGAGAAGGGTGCAAGGGCCGAGGCTCCGATATTCTCGAAACTGTCTTTAAAAACGAAAATGGAAAAATAAAGAAAAACGATAAAAAATACATAAAAGAGGAAACAATCGGTGTAACGCGAAAAGTATAAAAAAAAAAAAAAATAAAAAAAAAAAAAATGGAGAAACGATTAACAAAACATTTGCACTTGTAGCGTAAAAATATTAATTTGCATGCATCTTGGTGTCTTCTGTTCGCGTGAAAAATATTATGCGAGGAAGCGGAACGAATAAATGGAATTGTCGATCAGCAACGAACGAGATGCGATACAAGTATTTTTCTTCGGCGATAATGTTCCTCTGAGAATTATTTCCAAAACTGTGCGGCGACTTGGTACGAGAATCGAATGTAATTTCAGGAAAATTAGACAGGCAAAGAGAGGCCGCCCGCACCCTTCGACGAATTATTTATAATCGTTTCGTAAGAGGAAACGTGTAAACGCGTTTGTATAGACTTTTTATGTGCCCACATTATTTATTTAGTCCCGCTAGTTTATCGACGTTTACTCCAAAAAACTAATAATTGATACTTTGTAAGCTTTGTACGCGATCAGAGTGTTATTGTTTTTCTACGGATACCTTATTTTCCATTGTTTATAATTTAAATACATTCTACGAACACGTCACACCTTATCATGACTTATTTACCCGTAGAACTGAAAACTTCGCTAATAGACGGAACAAACATGTCGCCCCAATTCCCGACGGCACGAGAAAATGGCGTTCCTCTTGGTTCTTTGACGCGAAGTCTTCAAAAGGACGAGATACGATGTCTCGGTGTCATTCGCGTTTCGTAACGACGATGTGACACAACGACGGCAACAATAAAACGTGTCACCATAATTTACAGTATATGCGCACACTTCTGTCAACGGAATCTCGAGAATCTCTGAAAATAAATTACGTGAAAATCGGAATCTCTAAATTCGAACTGTTAGCAGGCGGCTCTCTTTCCTGATTCTATTTTTCCCCGGATGAAGTTACACGAAATCCCGTGTTTAATAAAAACTAATAAACACACACGATTGCAATGAACACGAAATAAAGAAAATTCAAAACGATTCGAAATGCCAAGCAAAGCGCGCGTGATGCTGACTGGGAAATCCACGTGCTCAGTCACGTGGACAAACACGAAACACAGTACGAAATTATAATCGCGTGTCGTGTATAGAATTGCACAGCTTTGCAACATCGAACGTTGTGTCTCGATAATTTAAATAACCTGTCATCGAATCCTTCTGGAGAACAATTACGCGTGAAAACAACTCGATTTAGGATGTGTCAGTCGACATAACCTCAAACTGCTGCTCGAATCGTAAAATCACATTCGTAACAAAGATTTTACCAACGGTTCCCCGAGCTTCTTCGAAAGTCCCCAACTCACGTTCACTCACGGTGCAAAAGTTAAATAAAAGCAAATAAAAACTGGATAAGAACACGGTTTAAAAAACGCGAGTAACACAGCCATTCCGAGCTGAACAATCGCGGCGTCTCTACTGACAGCTGCCGCGAACTATACGTTCGTACACGATACTAAACTTATCGATCACCTCGAACGGAGAAGATTACTACAGAAAAGAAAGATGAATAGACTTGGCATCCAATGGAATTTTGTGTCACATAATTCTGGAACTCGTAAATTCTATTATATTATCATTTTCGTGCAACGTCCAACTTTATCGGTACAGGTTAGAAGAAATCGGAGGCGCTGATAGTGAGAAGATTTGAATACAAAGATGGTGAGAACTCCTATTTGTGCTGCCTTCGATTTAAATAGCACACTACGAAGTCCAAACCACAGACGAGGTATATGAATAGACCTTTCACCTAATGTAATTTTTCGGTCCGAGTTTCTGGGGTCCCGGGACTCCATTACCATTTTCGTGTCACTCGCAACGTTACCGACAGATTCAGAAATGAATTTTAATCTCTTCCATAGTCAACTCACATGTATTTACGCAACACTACCACGGTTTGCCTGTCAATGCTAATTCAGTGAATACTTTCTCAACTGACCGCCATCCATGTGAAGAGGACGCTAAAATCACCTCCGAATCTTCAGGTCGGTATGGCAGTCAGGTTCGGCTGCGAAAATCCATAAGGTGAAAAGTCTACTCGTATACCTCTAACCGGACTTTGAAATGAGAACATAAAACTTAAATGTAAAGTTTCATTTAAATTCATTTAGCTATTTATACTCAATCGTATTAATATGTGTGCTCATACATGGGAATAAAAAAAAATTTCTTTTTTTTCAATAATTAAAATATGATCAGGAGGTCTTAAAACGTGTATTTCCGTAAAATAAATTTTACAAAATTTTTTTTTCATTATGGGTACTTTGCTTATGTGCGCCTACATAGGTCGGAAAGTAAAAATGCCTGGGCAGTCGAGAATCTCGGCTCGAGAATCCAAATCGTATGCCGTTGACGGGAGGTCGGATTTCAGTTGTTAAGAGCGAGAAGGCAAATGTGAGCCTTTCTCTCTCGACTCCCACGAAGCGGTCCGAAATTACTTCGGGCAGCTTCGGAGAATCGAGAAAGAGGGCATGCGTCAGTTTGCCTTTGTCGTCTTTCCGAAACTCCACGAGCTCACGTACACGCAATTGGGCATAGTGTGCGAAAGTGAGGAATGAGAAGTTTCCGGGGCCCCGATGCACAGTCTGATTAAACTGATTTCGAGTTGCAAATACGTTTCTGCCGAGTTATTTTTTTAATAAATGATGTATTACAATTTAAAATAAAAGATAGAGAATTTGCGGTGTACGTATCAATGAAATACATCCTTAGGAATTTTAATAATCTTGAAATTTTTAAATACTCTTAATCGATTGATTTCTCCAATGAAATTAATAGATTAATGTCCAATGATGGACCCTACAGCTTTAATTCCGTTAAAAAATAATAAAATTTATGTAATTTTATTTTCTGTCTCACTTCCTCTTGTGTTCATTTCTGAATCTGTTGATAACGTTGCGAGTGACACGAAAATGGTAATGGGGTCCCGGGACCCCAGAAACTCCGGCCGAAAAATTACATTACGTGAAAGGTCTATTCATATACCTCGTCTGTGGTGAAAGGTCTATTCATATACCTCGTCTGTGGTACAGAGATGCACTGTCGACGACGTCACTTGTCCACTATCGATAAGTTAGGTGACTCGAAGTTCAAAATACATGTCAAAGATGTCCTAAGCGAAATAAACGTATAAACACATACTATTTTGCGAAATCTATAGATTAAACAATGACAAACGATCCGTAGTATTAAGCTGAATAGTGATGATTAGGTTACTATATTTGTGTCTCATTCCTGTTTTTACCATTGATACTTGAATAAGACTTAAATGCAAGGAAAAAATTTTAACAATTAACCAATACTGCAGTTACCTTCTTCGAAAATCGTTACATTGAAATTGATGTGTATTATCTTGTATAAGTCTATTTAAGGCGACTGTGCTCATGTCATGGATCGTTGGTTACCAATAGCCAAGCTTATGTCATGGGTCACTGGTCACTAATAAGAGCTGTCTCGTCGAACAATTAAGAAACCAATTGAAAACTGTTCTTAGAGTGATTGGTTTGACCAATCAAAGCACAGATGAGGCGTAATTAAAGCGTATAATAAGTTTTCTACAATTGGTACGTCCAAAATGGTTCCCAGAGTCGTCGTCCTTAACCGCAGAGTGCGCTGCGTAACCGTCGCTCTTTCCCCGAGGTTGATATTTCAGTTCGTGACACAGAAACTCCCATTGAATGTTCTCTTTGTCCTATAGCTCGACTGTTCCTGTACCTTGTCGGTGGTGACATCATTGGCGAACCGTCTCAGCGATGCTATCCTTTCCCCGTTCGCCTTGCGCTTTTACTTCTGGCGCCAATCAGTCGCTAGATGGCGCATTTGCGCGCCCAGTAAGGCCAGAACTGCACTAATTAAGAATAAACGCGTCAAATCATTACGCGACCACTCGAAACATCCGATCTCGATTAACGCGTCGACTACGAGCGTCGTTCGACGATTTGTCGCCGGCTCGTTTTGCAAATATATATAGAATAATGGACGCTCGAATAAAAATGAGTGTACATTAATAAATCGAATGTAGTTGTAACGAAATAAAATAAGTATCGAACAGTCTCGTGACTGGTGCCTTTTTATAGAGTTAGGTTAGGTATTGCTGTCAGTTAAAAAACAGATGTTATGGAATTTCGTGATCCTGGTATTTGTTTATTTCAGTTTCGTTCCAACAATAATGAATCCTTTGGTACTATTGTTATGAAAGCGAAGTTCGCGAGGGATAGGAGTTCAGAGGCAAGGTTTCGTTGCGCAAAGCCGCCAGCGTGTTTATTGTTTGTGTGTTACGTGTGTCTTATACGCACAATCATATCATAATCCGTAAAGGAAAATTGCGAAGGCGTAGGTCCGGTCTGCTCCGCCAAGTACGGACAGCTTGCCTTGTTCACGTAGGCTTTTAAGCGTGATTCGACATCGACCTGGCCGCTGGTGGATCAGTAATCGGGCACGATTAGACGCGTAAGGTTTCGTCTCTGAATCTCCTGGGTATTAATTCGACGCGACGAGTAAATGACTGTTTCACCGTTAATTACGTCCATCCGTGTCCATTTTGTTCGCTAAAAATGCGGGAAATACAACTGGCGTTCATTTTTGCGGTAAGCTACGTTTCGAAGCTACTAATTACGCGCATCTAATAACCTTTGGAATTATAAATAATAATAAACTTATCTCAATTATTCGATATTTAATGTGCACAGTGATGGCGCTTATTACGTTGTTATTGTAGTCTTTTCTGTGGCTTTGATAGCTGGATTCGACCGTTCGATCTTTTTTCTTTTTTATCAATAAGTGTTTCGATTTTATTAAATTTTATTTCCATTCTAAAACGCAGCTTCGTCCAGCAGCGAACGTTATCCAGTGTAAAATGGGTTTAATGCACTGCTCTTTTCACTCGAAGTTCAAGATCAGCCATGCGTGTATGAGACACATATACGGAGCATGTAGTAGTAAATTTACCATTCACTGTTAGTTAAACGCCTGTCTAAACCACACGCGAATAATGTTCAAACACAATTTAGGAACATACTCGTGAATAATTAATATTTTAATTTATTCACTGCCTTTCATCTCTCTTATTTCATACCACTTATTTCCAAGTATTTTCCGTGTTGTTACTTTTGCATATTAAACATTCGATGCTTATTATCGTTAAACATAGATTTTTTAACCGGATAAGAATTATCCCCCATCTCAGTTCCAATTTGAGAATCGTGACGATGGAATTTACCCTGCCAAGATCACTGATAAAATAAAGGGGGGTGATAAAACGAACGAAAGTAAAAAAAAAAGCACATCCGAGTTGTTGATAGGAATCATCAACCGGCGGATACCCGCAATGTATGATTTTACGATAAAAATCATCAACCGGCGGATATACGCAATGTCAGACAACGTGTATCTTCGTTGACTGAGATTACAATTTTTTGATTGCATCTGTTTCCTGGCAATTGTCTCCGACAAGTCATGTGAATTTTTCTCAGCATTGCCTTTTGTTCGCTTTATAAATACGTAGTGACTAAGGAGGTGTAGAATAAGAAAGGAGTAATGAATTAGTATTCGCACGCTTTATAAAGAATTTCAAAAGAAATCGAAAATTTCACAATTATTACGATAGTTTTTCAAACGAGATACGAAGAAAAATTATTTACTACTATAACAGAGTGTTCGGCCACTCCTGGGAAAAATTTTAATAGGGGATTCTAGAGGCCAAAATAAGACGGAAATCAAGACTACCAATTTGTTGATGGAGGCTTCGTTGAAAAGTTATTAACAATTAAATTTAATAATTTCAAATCGTTCTGGAAAAATTATTTTCGGTTGCGGGGGTCAATTACAATCATTTTTGGTGAATAGACATACTCTCGAATACCTATCCACTTTCGAGAAAAAAAATGGAGAAGTTGTGAAATTTCACGTCGAAAAAAAAGTTTCAAATCGTTCTGGAAAAATTATTTTCGATTGCGGGGGTCAATTACAATTATTTATGGTGAATACACATACTTTCGAAATCCTACGCACTTTCGAAAAAAAAATTCGAGAAGGTGTAAAATTTTACGTCGAAAACAAAAATTTTAAATCGTTCTGGAATAATCATTTTCGATTGCGGGGGTCAATTACAATTATTTATGGTGAATACACATACTTTCGAAATCCTACCCACTTTCGAGAAAAAAATTCGAGTAGATACTGAAGTTTTTAGACGAAATTACAATATTTCAAATCATACTAAAAAAATTAGATTTAGTTACAGGGGTCAATTATAATAATTTTTGGTCATTACACATACCACCGAAATCCTACGTACTTTCGAGAAAAAAATTCCTTACCGAAAATCTAATTAGGTCGCTTTTTTCGACGGAAAAAGAAAATCTCAAATCGTTCTGGAAAAATTATTTTCGGTTGCGGGGGTCAATTATAATAATTTTTGGTGAATAGACATACATCCGAAATCTTGCGCATTTTCGAGGAAAAAATTTAATAAGGGCGAAACTTTAAACGTTAATATCTTTTCAACGAAGCCTCCATCAACAAATTGGTATTCTTGATTTTCGTCTTATTTTGGCCCCTAGAATCTCTCATTAAAATTTTTCTCATGGTTGCCCGAACACCCTGTATACTCTCTAGAAGTTAATGATGATGGAATATTTATATTATTCTAATATTTAACACAACGTAAATCATATGGATCATCAAATTTACAAGCGTACTCGAGCGTATGGAGATTACAGGAGAAAAAAGGGGGCAGCCATTAGAATTTCAAGAAGAAGAATCGTTAGACGTGGGCGTTGAGGACGACTCGAGGCCTTTTTCTTTTTATGTAACGGGATCTGTATCTTTTTACAGATACAAAACTATACCAGTATAATGTAGCGTACTTCGAGAAAGAGTTAAATTTTTTATCAAAGCTCTCAGTATTGGCAGACACAACGCAGATGCAATAATTTACAAAATATTTACAGAGAGTTTAGCGACATAAACAAGTGGATAATAAAATAAATCTTCTGCTCGAGGATATCGGTAAATAAGGATATACCGGTATTTTAGCGGACTAGCATGATGTCATACCAGTATTTTCGAACCTCCATGTCTGTAAGGGCTCCACTGACGTAATAGGAAAATGGCGGTATAGTAACGGTATTTTCTATTTAGGTATCGAGCCGAATGCATTTGAACTTATATGTGTGTACTTGTTTCTCGAGACGCGTTCATAATTCAACGAGGTTATCGTTTTTAAATTTATTATAAAATGTTTTGCATTCGTGACAAAACGATTCCGTTTACTAAGGGATATAAATCATTTCTAACCACTCGTTCACGTTTACGTTTTGCCAGCGGAGTAAATTGGGTAATCGTAGTCGGTCGTAATTTTGTCGTTGCTGAAAAACAACGACGGAGAGAAGGTCGAGTGGAAACTGGATCTCTGGGAACCGTAAATCGGTACGCGTGTAAAAGTTTCACTGTTAAAGGCGGCGCCTCGTATATATTCACACAATCGCGTTTGTTCGCCGTGTACAATATTCTCGGCTCGTAAAAGTGAAAGCGATGCAAACGAAGGAGAAAATATGATCGTGAAACTCGACCACCAGATAGCTGTATATAAGAGGATGAATTGGGCTTTCTTACATGTGATTCGGTTAATGCTTGTCAACTTTCATCGCTCGAGTATTTGTGAATGAAACTCGGATTCTAGTATGACAACGTCACCGATCCCTCGTTCATAGTAATCACGGTTTCTTTTCTTTTCTGTTTGACGCAACTCCCAATACGAGGAGAAATCAATTTCGACGCGTTCGATGATAAAGAGAAACTAAACAACAGTCATCATAATAATACAATTTTTACGTAGAATGATGTTTTCAATTCTATGGATATTTTGTAGCAAAACTGTGGTAACGATATCCACAGTCATTTAACTAAATGCAATTTAATACTGTAGTGTGAGAATATTGAAATATTAAATTTCCTCAAATTAAACGGCACCCTTGTTTCTAAGTTCTTCTTGCAAGAAGATGGCTACTACACATTATTTTTACTTCAATGGTACTACAGTAGTACGAGAATATTGAATTATAAAATTGTAATAGCACTATTGAAATAAAAATAATTTTTAGAAGCCATCATTTTGCAAGTGAGTGCTTAGAAACGAGGTGTTATTTAATTTTACACAATTTGATATTTCAATATTCTCACGATACAGTATTAAATTGCATTTAGTTAGATAACTGTCAATAATCACAATTTTTTAAGACCAGAAAGATTATTTCTCTTGCAATTGTTTAGCTACGACTCGGTTTATCGTTACAAAAATATTTCCATACGGGGACGTGTTCGTAAACATTGTTTTTGCACCAAAGAAATCGTCGACGCCTACGAATATTGACAGTTTGATAGCTTTTGTCACGGTCCACGGACCCGGGAGCCAGATAAAAGCGAACCGTGGAGGTCTTAACTTGTCGATCCCGGCTCGACTTATTGGTTTACGTTACATCTATAGTGACGAAGAATTCGAATATTTTTAACGCCTAAAACAGAAAGTTATTGGAGCATGCAAACAAGTAAAAATTATTCAGGAATTATTCTACAAAGATATTACCTTACAAAGTTTGTACAAACTTGTGGACATTATCACATATATATTTCCAATGGCTTATGTAGAAGAGCTTAAAGAACTGACAGGAAGTTCCAAAAAAATTCTAAATATTGAGAACTCGAGGATCTCATTTCGAGAAATTGTAAACAGGGATATTAATTTTCGACAAACATCTTATTTTCTAAGCCACGTGTATGGATCAGTAATGGCGGATGTAGAGCTTAAAGAGTTGACAGGAAGTTTTCAAAAAATTTTAAATATTGAGAACTCCAGGATCTCATCCTTAGAAATTATAAACAGAGATATTAATTTTTGACAAAAATCTTATTTTCTAAGCCACGTGTATGGATCAGTAATGGCGGATGTAGAGCTTAAAGAGTTGACAGGAAGTTTCCAAAAAATTCTAAATATTGAGAACTCGAGGATCTCATCCTTAGAAATTATAAACAGAGATATTAATTTTTGACAAACATCTTATTTTCTAAGCCACGTGTATGGATCAGTAATGGCGGATGTAGAGCTTAAAGAGTTGACAGGAAGTTCCAAAAAAATTCTAAATATTGAGAACTCGAGGATCTCATTTCGAGAAATTGTAAACAGAGATATTAATTTTCGACAAACATCTTATTTTCTAAGCCACGTGTATGGATCAGTAATGGCGGATGTAGAGCTTAAAGAACTGACAGGAAGTTTCCAAAAAATTCTAAATATTGAGAACTCGAGGATCTCATCCTTAGAAATTATAAACAGAGATATTAATTTTTGACAAACATCTTATTTTCTAAGCCACGTGTATGGATCAGTAATGGCGGATGTAGAGCTTAAAGAGTTGACAGGAAGTTTCCAAAAAATTCTAAATATTGAGAACTCCAGGATCTCATCCTTAGAAATTATAAACAGAGATATTAATTTTTGACAAAAATCTTATTTTCTAAGCCACGTGTATGGATCAGTAATGGCGGATGTAGAGCTTAAAGAGTTGACAGGAAGTTTCCAAAAAATTCTAAATATTGAGAACTCGAGGATCTCATCCTTAGAAATTATAAACAGAGATATTAATTTTTGACAAACATCTTATTTTCTAAGCCACGTGTATGGATCAGTAATGGCGGATGTAGAGCTTAAAGAACTGACAGGAAGTTTCCAAAAAATTCTAAATATTGAGAACTCCAGGATCTCATCCTTAGAAATTATAAACAGAGATATTAATTTTTTACAAACATCTTATTTTCTAAGCCACGTGTATGGATCAGTAATGGCGGGCGTAGAACTTAAAGAGCTTACAGGAAGTTTCCAAAAAATTCTAAATGTTGAGAACTCGAGGGTCTCATTTCGAGAAATTGTAAACAGAGATATTAATTTTTGATAAATATCTTATTTTCTAAGCCACGTGTATGGATCAGTAATGGCGGATGTAGAGCTTAAAGAGTTGACAGGAAGTTTCCAAAAAATTCTAAATATTGAGAACTCGAGGATCTCATCCCTAGAAATTGTAAACACCGATAATTTTTGACAAATATTTTATTTTCTAAGTCACGTGTATGATGGCTTTTTAATTTAGTTAAATATAGATTCTCTCGATACAGAAAAGGTTCGCAATGTACACGGTGAGTAATATCGACGCGTGAAGGTATTTGTAATTAGAGGCTGGCACGTTAGAGGAATGCATAACCATAAGTTTCGGTGAGGTAATTTTAAATGTAGAGTGATCATCTGTAATTGCAAGATGGGCGCGGTGTTGTTCAGGAAAAACGGTGCGTGGTCATTGAGGAGGTAGGGATACGGCTGCGAAGGAAAGAGTTGAGATCCATGGAATGGTTGACGATACTCTGAAAACACAAAGCATCCATCGGGTCTCAGTTCCCGTATCGCGTCCTCTGTGCTCGCTTCGTTGATATCCGTGCTGGTGATACACCGTGGTACTGTTTTCCGCACTTTCTTCCACCGTTTCCTAATTTTACGGCCACCACGTTCCAACGCGGACAACACTAAACGAGAACACTATCGCGTCGCGTCGAATAAAATCCACGCGAGGGTGACGTTTACGTCCCATCGATCGAAACGAAAGTTTTACACAATTTCTTTTTTCCTCGCTTCCAAAAAATTTTCCTCGTGAAATACACTGTATTCTCATCTGTTTTCTTCGTTTAATATCTTTACTTTGAACAGTATTTTCCCATAATTTTCGATGCTCTTGATTTTTCGGAAAGTCGAAAGAAAGTTTGCTTTAATTTTTGCAAGATTAAAGGACTAGTTGGAGCAGAAGTTTTACACAATTTTTTCTTTGCTTTCCCTCGTGAAAAATTTACACAGTATTTTCATCTATCTCGATCATTTTTAATTTTTGCTTCGAAGAGTATTCTTTGATAACTTTGCGATGCTCTCGATTTTTCCAAAAATCGAGAGAAAGTTTGTTTTAATTTTTGCAAGATTAAAAAATTAGTTTGAGCAGAAGTTTTACACAATATTTTCTTTGCTTTTCCTCGTGAAAAATTTACACTGTATTTTCATCTATTTTCGATCATTTTTAATTTTTGCTTCGAAGAGTATTCTCTGATAATTTTTCCAAAAATTGAGAGAAAGTTTGTTTTAATTTTTGCAACATTAAAAAATTAGTTTAAGCAGAAGTATTACACAATTTTATTTTTGCTTTTCCTCGTGAAAAATTTACACTGTATTTTCATTTTTCCAAAAATCGAGAGAAAGTTTGTTTTAATTTTTGCAAGATCGAAGGATTAGTTCGAGCGGATGTATTGCAATTTTCCAGAAGCTATCTGCATGTGCTTTACCCCTTCTCGCGCAATACTTAAACCGGATTGTGATAAAGAAGAACAGAAAGAAGGCAGCATGGTGGTGTAATTCAGCTGTACTCGAATAAATATACCGCGAAGACTATGATTCTGTGGACATTATGTTGCCTGAATGTTTTAACGGTAGGTTTGTCTATTCAATGTTTATAGAGTGATAAATCTTTATTCACGTAAACAAAAAAAAAGATGAGTAGAGGAATGTGTTTATTATTGAAATTGTGAATGTACGATTCTGAATCATTTTCTAGGCTGATGGATGTGTCTGTTTCTTTATATTAACTTTCTACTTCAACAAAATCGAAGAAATCCATGCTCCGAGTTACTCCATTTAATGTTTCATAAATATTCCATGGAAGTGTTGATTTAAATATATATTAAGATAGTGGGTTTTAAACAGATAATTAATAATTACTACATAATAAATCTATCTATTTTAAAGCGATAAGAAGATTTCCATAATTTAAATCGTGACTTTGTAATTCAGGTTTGATCGAGTGACATTCAAAATTTTAGATCGTATACTTTTATCTCGATGGAGAATTTTGAAAATATGTTTTCGAGGCATTCGCGACAATGTTGGGTGCTCAGATGTTTCATAATAATTTACTTGCATCTTGCTCCTGTTAAGTAATGCTCATTGACTTTCAAATAACAAAGATTCTCTAAATGCACGATAATTACAGCGCAATTATAATTTATTTCGGCTTGCAAATATACTTGTACTGTACAAACGGCTCTTTCCATGCTTCACACGAACGATAGGCTCATTATGTATCATTACCTGCAGTTATTCGAAAATTATTAATTGTGCATAACTACATCCTTTGGGACAATGGAATTCTATAGTATAATTATCATTATTACTTTTATATTTGCATTTCTCAGTGTCCTATTATTCTGTACATAATTGTTACAATGTTTTATCAGCAACTAAGAATAGCCTTCAATATCCCATTTTATAAAACACTATAATTATACAAATAACCAAAAGATACAATTACAAAATTTAGACAAGCATTTAACAACTTCGCTTACAATTCCACCGTTGTAAAAACTACATTATCTTTGCTTTAATTGAATAAATATTCCAAATAGGACAGCTTCAAACGGGGAAAATTTACGATACGATGTAACGTAATTACAATGCAATAATCGCTGACCAGTAATCGCGATCCAAGGAAAGAGCAACCATTTCGTATTCGAAGAGAGTCCGTGGTGTTCATAAAGCGTGAAGTGCAAAGTGAAAGAATCGTAACACAGCATTTTCTTCTTGTTTGCATTCATCTTCAGCCAACGAGTCCTCGACAACGATCCTTTCGAAAACATTTTTGAAAATGTCCAAATATTTTTCGGGACTTCAATTTCCAAACGAAACTTTTCGGGGAATTTACATTTACATTTAGCTATTTGAAATTTTACTTAAAATTCCATTCCACTGTGCGTGCTTCGTTTCCCTCGACTATAGAAACAGATTTTTGGCTCAAGGTGGTTTCATAAACGATCTATTCCATTTACGTCCGACTGCAGTGGAGGAGGATTTAAGTGCTCTGGAAGATTACGTGCACTAGTGCATACGTCGATGATCAGACCGGCTACGAAGGTCAGCAACTACCTTCGCAGCATCCTTGGACTTCATTTTAATTTTTGAACGATTAATCGTTGCAGTCGTTCATTTTCTCTGTATACTCGTTTCTCGCAGCCCCGATTAATTACGAGTCCCCCGCCATTTTGTAGACGTCGAAGCATTATAAAGTTCACAGTTTAAGTCGCGTTATCGTTTCGTAAGCGTATATCTGTTTTCCTGAATATCTTCCTATTTCTCTATTGGGACATCCTCCACGAGTATATTAAATTCAGGTTGGCCACTTATCCATTGCAATAACTTCTCATCGCTTCGAATACAAAGTATTGCAAAGACACTTTTGTCAAAGGAACGGGAGGAAATGACTCACAGAAGCTACGGGGATAGTCTATGAAGAATAGATAATAACATCGTGCGTAAGGTGGCATTGTTTGCTATGTCGAAAGAATCGTTGCGAAAAATTTCTTTTAAAATCCATCAGAGGGTCGAGAATAATTTTTTCTTTGTAAAAATGTATTTCGTTAATCGCAGCTTTTCGCGGAATTTCTATTCTCGTTCGAAAATAAAGGATTGTTTATACAACCTACTTGACGAGATTGTCTCGTTTCTATGCAACTGTCTCACCAAGAACATTTATGTAACAGTTTGGAATAGTTATTTCTGGATGCATGCCGATCCATGTGTGTCATGTGTCCCTCTGTATTAGTGACATAGTAAAATTTACGATGATACACGCGATGGAACTTTGTCGAGCGAATCACACGAATAATTAATACCACGTATCGTGCACGTAGATTGAAAGTGACGAAGGCCGTATTTCCATATAGGAAATGAATGCTGTCAATGAATACCAAGTATATAGACCATCGACACTATCACTGTGACACACATATGAAACAGTAGAAATATTGCAATTATGCGTACCATTAAAATTGAACACCTAAATAAGTTTCTTGCATCTGACTATGGGAAGATTTAATTGGTCCATGACATTGAACTTGGAAAAAATTAAAAAATATTAGATTTAATTACTTTCCCAATTATTTAAAATTTCGGTGTGAACGGACCTTAAGTATATTTTTCCATTACAAGAATTTACACAAGTTTCTCTCGTTAGCGATTTTTTTTCAATATTAAGATTTTACAAATGAATAATTTTGAATTTCTTTAATTGATACTTTATTTAACAACGCTTTAAGGTTGGAATTCATATACAGGATGTTCGGCCAAACCTGGGAAAAATTTTAATAAGAGATTCTAGAGGCCAAAATAAGACGAAAATCAAGAATATCAATTTCTTGATGAAGGCTTCGTTAAAAAGTTATTAACGTTTAAAGTTCCACCCTTACTAAATTTTTTCCTCGAAAATGCGCAAGATTTCGGGTGTATGTCTATTCACCAAAAATTATTATAATTGACCCCCGCAACCGAAAATAATTTTTCCAGAACGATTTGAGATTTTCTTTTTCCGTCGAAAAAAGCGACCCAATTAGATTTTCGGTAAGGAATTTTTTTCTCGAAAGTACGTAGGATTTCGGTGGTATGTGTAATGACCAAAAATGATTATAATTGACCCCTGTAACTAAATCTAATTTTTGTAGTATGATTTGAAATATTGAAATTTCGTCTAAAAACTTCAGTATCTACTCGAATTTTTTTCTCGAAAGTGGGTAGGATTTCGAAAGTATGTGTATTCACCATAAATATTTGTAATTGACCCCCGCAATCGAAAATGATTATTCCAGAAAGATTTGAAATTTTTTTTTTCGACGTAAAATTTTACACCTTCTCGAATTTTTTTTTCGAAAGTGCGTAGGATTTCGGGGGTAATTGTAATGGCCAAAAATGATTGTAATCGACCCCCGCAACCGAAAATAATTTTTCCAGAACGATTTGAAACTTTTTTTTCGACGTGAAATTTCACAACTTCTCCATTTTTTTTCTCGAAAGTGGATAGGAATTCGAGAGTATGTCTATTCACCAAAAATGCTTGTAATCGACCCGTGTGACTAAATATAATTTTTTTAGTATAATTTGAAATTTTTTAATTTTGTCTAAAAATTTTAGTATCTAGTCGAATTTTTTTCTCGAAACTGGTTAGGATTTCAAGGTATGTCTATTCACCAAAAATGCTTGTAATCGACCCCTGTGACTAAATATAATTTTTTTAGTATGATTTGAAATTTTTTAATTTTGTCTACAAATTTTAGTATCTATTCGAATTTTTTTCTCGAAAGTGGGTAGGATTTCGTGGTATGTGTATTCACCAAAAATGCTTGTAATAGACCCTTGCAACTAAATATAATTTTTTTAGTACGATTTGAAATTTTTTAATTTCGTCTAAAAATTTCAGTATCTAGTCGAATTTTTTTCTCGAAACTGGTTAGGAATTCAAGGTATGTCTATTCACCAAAAATGCTTGTAATCGACCCCTGTGACTAAATATAATTTTTTTAGTATGATTTGAAATTTTTTAATTTTGTCTACAAATTTTAGTATCTATTCGAATTTTTTTCTCGAAAGTGGGTAGGATTTCGAAGGTATGTGTATTCACCAGAAATAATTGTAATTAACCCCCGCAACCGAAAATTAATTTTTTTGGAACGTTTTGAAATTATTGAATTTAATTGTTAATAACTTTTCAACGAAGCCTCCATCAACAAATTGGTATTCTTGATTTTCGTATTATTTTGGCCTCTAGAATCTTCCATCAAAATTTTTCCCAGGGTTGACCGGACACCCTGTATAACTGATCAGAACTCAGTCATCTACTATGCAGCAATGACTTGATAGCTAGGCACGCCGATTGGCCGTAGCTTAATAGCAACGCGTGCTCTCACACGCATTGTCATTATTGGCTGAGTTGCTCACAACTACAATTCCATCGCGTGACAAAGGACGCGAACGAAACGTATAGGGACAGAGTAGGATAGGGCAAGACTGAGAGGCATTGGCGTAACCGTACGCTCAAAATACTAGCCATGAATGGAACAAAAGAGGTTACGGAGACCCTACTGCTATGTACCGTGACGTCAGAGCGGGCCTGTATGGTGGGAATATTGCGGCGCGTAGACCTTCTCTCCTTGCCCTTGCCCCGTTTAGTTTGTAGGTGCCTAGCCAACAAGTCATCTCTGGATAGTACCATCTTTCGATATCCATAGATGCATCATTAAATAACTTTCGCAATTTTTATTATTTTTACACTAAAAGCAGCAGAGCTCCATAATCGAGAAAGTTTATGGTTTCCCTTGCAAAGAATGTGCAAAGTTCGTAAAAGATTCCAAAGCTAGGTTAGGACGCTAGGGAGACGCCAAAAAGCTAGGTTAGGACACTGGTTTCCGATAATTCGATCTCGTACAGTCGATCCCGAAGCTCTTGTCTCCTTGATTCAACCATCTGTGCTTCATCCTCGATGTATTCATGGTCGAGGTCGTAAGCAGTACCGTGGAGTTCCTTTCCAACCAATCCAGCTGCTCCGACGCCCGCTGTTACCAGTTTAGCGCTGATACCATTCTCCCCGTTGCAGGTTTAAAAGCTTATGGTTACCGTCAGCCAGGGCGCCCTGTACCGTGCATTACCGACGTTCCTTTTCATGGAAGAAAGCTCTTAGCTCGACTTGCTTTTCCCACGAACGTAAACTCTATTAACCAGTCCTCGTCTCCTAGACGGAGTCATCGACTCTCGCGATGACTTCGAGTGGGTGGCGGTTTCGCCCTTCGGACGACGAGACAATTACTCGAAAAGTGTACGCGGGTACTGGAATAGTTGTCCTTGACGAGATTCTACGGGCACAATCCGACTTCTGCGGATCCGATTGAAACACATACTTGCTGATGAGACACTTTGTATGCGCATCTGTTGAACGAGTTTCGAACTGCATTATTTCCTAGACAGTGGCGGATCTGGGAGAACGAAAAAAGGGCGCGAGGAATTCGAGGACCCCGAGAGCCCGAAAACTGCATTAAGGATTTTATACAATGAACATTTAAAAGCGAATAAAATTTGTATAATAGATTTTTTTCACATTATTTGCATAAAATTTTTTATTCGTATTTGTCGCGAATAAAAATTATGGGCTCGAATTAAATTTCGATCGATCACTTTTTTTCGTAGTCTAAATGGAAACGTTGTTGATTGAAAAAAATATTGATGGTTCTATTGTTTCAGGTTTCAGTCTTATGTCGAAGCACGGGAAACGCTGACAAAAGTGGTTGGAATTTCGACCCAAATACGCAGTATCATATTCAGACGGATGAGGGTCCCGAGAGGCATTTCCGGTTTCAAACGTTGAACGGACAATACAGGAAGGAGAAAAGGTTGGTCGATGGCACTGTTATCGGCACGGAGGGCTGGCTGGACCCTTTAGGGTACTTGCGACTCAAGGATTACGTGGCTGATCACAACGGGTTTCGAATATTAAGGTAAGTAAGGGTAGTAAGGAAACAATCGTATTTGACAAATTTTAGAATAATCCCTCTCGATACGTTTAACACTTAGTTTCAGTTGCATTTAAGATGGTAAAACTCGTTGTGCATAAAGATTATTGTACGTTTCGATCAGATCAAAAATGGTGTACGTGGGCAAAGACAGACCCATGTACGATGCAATGGCGGAAGCGAAAAGGGTGCCTGCCCAGAGTGGAATTCTCGTCGAACCTACACCACCGCCAAATCCTTTCAGGTACTGAACCAAAAAAGCGTATTAATAATCGGTAATTAAATGTTCCTTTCCGTCGCAGACAGTGGAAAGGAAGCAACGTGTCACCTTTGCTTGGCAACGAAATAAACTCTGGCTATTACGTCAGTACCACGGCCAATCCTCGAGTGGACGTTTCTCCTATATCGAGCTCGAGCAACGATTACTACAACGCGGCAAATCGAGGAAGTTTTTCCTCGGGGCAACGAAATCTGCAAAATTCCCAGCTTCCGAACAATTATTACAATTACCACCAACGACCACGGGACGGGGCTACCGGTCCTTACAACCATTTGCAGAAGAACCATCGACTAGCGACACCTGCATCCCAAAGCAGTTCGACCGACGCGCCACCATACGACGGGACACACACCGTTGCGAACGGATTCCAATATTATCTGAAGAGGCAGTATCACGAGGAGGAACAGGACGCCAGAGGAGGAAACGTTGGGTCTTTCGGTTACATCGATCCGTTTGGTATTAGAAGAGTAATTTATTATAAGACGGATCCTCAAAGCAACGGTTTCGTTCACCAGAAGAACAATAAATACGTGGGTTTCGCAGCGACGCCTTACGACCCGTCGCCACCTACATTATACAGACAGAGATCAAGAAGATACACAAAGTAATATAAACTATCTCGCTGAAGCTATACCGAATGCCGTGGAGAAATCGTAAGGTCTCTCCAAAGGTTAACAGTAGGTGCCATGTTTTGACTATCTTATTATTTATAAGGTTCCAGTAAATTTAAATAAATCCGACGACTTTGTGCGAATACTGTAATTCTGTTAAAATAAATTAAAGAACGACGACGTACGATGAATTTACAAACGCGTGAACAAGGCTGATCGTGTTTGTTTATGCTCGTCGAGGATTAGTATGATTAAGCAGTTTTCCATTATTATGTTTTATTACGTTAACAAAACATATTTACACTGTTAAATATATCGCACCTGTGTTGGAAATTGTGTTACTTTGTAAGGAAAAAGTATTACATAAATTAAGCATTTAACACAAAATTTATGCATGTTTTATTTTTGGCAATAATGTGAGAAATTTCGTTTTCAAGTGCTATGGGATACCACCTGGAGTATCTTCGTCGTGTTTGATAGTACAAAAGATTTTCTAAGAATTATGTTTAAAAAATAGCTTGTACTCGGAATTAAAATGTATATTTGTCTGCGGACAACATTTATAAAATCATTTTCATTTATTACCCAAACAGAAATGACTTTGTGAAATGAATTGTAAACGACTAGAATGGCAGAATGTTTTGTGGACAACAGAGTTTGGGATATTTTTATTTAGACATCGATCGTCGATAAATAGAACTTACTTCGTCTAGAAAATTTCTTCGTCATCGAGCGCCTATCAACGCAACCGAGCATTCACGACGCGCCTGCGCAGAACTTACGACGGATTTTCGGAAAGTAAAATACGTATAAATCTATTTCAACTAAAACAATTATTTCTGTCAATATATTGTAGAAATTCGAAAATTATTCAAATATGACCAGAATAATTTATTTTTTCTTTGTCTGGAAAATGCAAATGTATAAATACACTAGAATCTTTAGATAAATATTTGATTCGAGAGCGTACTTTCCTTTTGTCATTCTAACCTATTTGGGGACAAATTCTTTTGTGCAAAGCGAGTTTCGTTTAACTACATTTCTACCTAGTACTGACCCTTGACATCTATCGATCTTGTAAAAAAGGAACTTTTCCACAAATCTAATGTTTAAAACAAGGAAATTTTATACGTATCACGAATTATTCCTTTGAAAAATATTTTTTTAAATATACAGGGTGTTCGGTCACCCCTGGGAAAAATTTTAATGGGGTATTCTAGAGGCCCAAATACGACAAAAATCAAGAATACCAATTTGTTGATGGAGGCTTTGTTAAAAAGTTAGTTACGTTTAAAGTTGCACCCGTGCTGAATTTTTTTCTCGAAAATGAGCAGGATTTCAGGTATATGTCCAATCACCAAAAATGATTGTAATTGACCCCCGCAACCGAAAATAATTTTTTTAGAACGATATGAAAAAATTTTTTATTGTCGAAAAATTTCTGCACCTATCCGATTTTTTTTCTCGAAAGTGGGTAGGATTTCGGAGGTATATCTATTCGCCTAAAATGATTGTAATTGAACCTTGCAACAGAAAATAATTTTTTTAGAACGGTTTGAAAAATTTTATATTGTCGAAAAATTTCTGCACCTCACCGATTTTTTTTCTCGAAAGTGGATAGGATTTCGGAGGTATGTCTATTCATCAAAAATGATTGTAACTGAACCTTGCAACAGAAAATAATTTTTTTAGAACAATTTGAAAAATTTTTTATTGTCCAAAAATTTCTGCACCTCTTCGATTTTTTTTCTCGAAAGTGGGTAGGATTTCGGAGGTATATCTATTCACCTAAAATGATTGTAATTGAACCTTGCAACAGAAAATAATTTTTTTAGAACGGTTTGAAAAATTTTATATTGTCGAAAAATTTCTGCACCTCTCCGATTTTTTTTTTCGAAAGTGGATAGGATTTCGAAGGTATGTATATTCACCAAAAATGATTGTAACTGACCCCCGCAACTGAAAATAATTTTTCCAGAACGATTTGAAATTTTTCAATTTAATTGTTAATAACTTTTTAACGAAGCCTCAGTCAAGAAATTGTATTCTTGATTTTCGTCTTATTTTGGCATCTAGAATCTCCCATTAAAATTTTTTCTGAAAGATGAAATCACCTATTTTCGTTGAAAATTTCAATTTACGCGATGTAATTATTGCAAAACGTGAACGAAATGTTTGCCATTGATTTTAAGTTAATTAAAAGGGATCGAAACTGTGCCAGAGGTATTACGTATCGCGTTGTTAGATTATATGAATAAACAAGAAGTACACGTACGTGTCTTATATAATGTCATTAAGTCGTTTTTCTCTCTGTTCCGATTCATTCGATTCTACGTACTCCGGGGAGCATCGACTTAAAGTAATGGTAACGGTTGCCCAAATATGGACGGTATTATATTACCATATTACCAAATTGACGTTGGAGCGGTCAGAATTCGATGCCAGAGATTGAAACTCCTCCAGAAATAACTGATCCAATATGTTATATAAAGGTTCCTTGACGAAACATTTACGAGGAATTGAAAGAATCTCGGTTATGGCCAGAAAAGGTTTTCGTATATATCACTTCGCTGTCAACTATAGACCTTACCATCTTAAATGCCTTTAAATTACCTCGAAACAATAGAAATTTCCCATTTTTCAAAATATCAGAAATATATTATTTACACAAAATTTTATACACGATGCCGTTAAAATAATGTGTTGTTTTTATTGAATGTATAAATATTTCAAATTGGTAACTATTATGGTATTGACAATTTTTTTGATTGAAAATTGATCATTTACGTGATAAAAATTCAATGATTTTATAAATTCGTATGAACCAGAGTATATATATAGAGATTTTTGTTACAAAGATCGGAGAATATCTTTGGAGGTCCATCAGTTGTCGGGTGGGGATAAAGTGAGAGTCAGTATAAAAGGAGAATTCTCTACTTTCTTGGGGTCAGAAACGATTGGATCCAATTGCTATCTCCTTCTTTTTGTGCAACACCTTCCATTATCAAGATGAAGAGCATTGTAAGTAATTACTGTATTATTTATTACATTTAGTTCTATTTGTAACGATTACTGTGTCATATTTTTATTTTATTCGTTGGAGAACGTTCTCTGGTTCGTACAAATATTCAGAAAATCAAGCTAAAGCTATAAGGAATAAATTTTACAAGATAATTCCAGCTTTGTAGATAAATTTTTTGCTGACTATTAGTAGAATTTCTAGTATTTTGATCCATTAAATTTACCGTTCAGTGAGCGTTCTCAAAGCGGTGTGAAATAATTAAGATAGACATAAGTTATTAATTCTCGAACGAAACAAACGATGAGCGTCAATTTTTTAAATTACATAAACATTTCTCAAGCTTCTGTGACGAATAGTTTCATTAATGATTTATAAAGTGTTTCCACTCACAAATAGAATATTTAAAAATATCATATTATTCATAACAATTTATTAGATACTGAACAATATTATCAAATTTTTGGATAACGTTTCTCTGTGCAAATTAATCGAATATCGAAGAAACATCTTTATATCGCACCAGAATGTAAAATTACTATATCCTTTATATCATATTTTCAAAATTACAATATTTATGTATTTATAACATTCCTTGCACGATCAAGTAAAATATATACAATATTTGGTATTGCATTTTCCAGAACCTAGTGTAAAAAATTTAAACAAATTTATCCACGCCATATTTTCAAATCCGGTAATATCGCTTGATATTAAAAATTCCGAATCAACTGGAAATGTCATTTTTGTATTCGTGAACCGTATTGTATTCGTGTTGCGAAAGGAGGACGATCCTTGATCAATTATAATATTACGGCATATAGGTGGCTCGATGTAAAAGAAGGCAAAGTAAATCAACGAGTTCGCAAACTCGTCGTAGGTCAGGAGTAAATGACCCGCGTTGGCATTTGCTTCTCACTTTCACTCATCTCCCTAACTCTGTATCGAAGGATGCCACGGTGAAGAAGCGGTTGATAAATCCTCCGTCGCATTAAAATTCGGTCCCCTCTTAAGAATTCGCCCCATTCAATTCCTACGGCCGCGGTTGCGTCACCGCTCGCGACGGTTGAATCAAACGGCCGTTCAAGCATAAATTTTATTGTGGTAGGTACTGGCTGTAATCTTGGGATTAGCGGCGGCGCAAGAATCGAATTACCACGGTCGTAACAGTTACCACGATAATGATAGGCCAAATCCTTCGAGCGAAGAGAGGAAACATCAGACCACAACGCCTATTCCAATTTTACATTGGAACAAACAACAGGAACACGACGGGACGTACAAAACGAGGTACTGCTTATCAATCAATTCGAAATGAGAAATTTTATTCCATTTAATACGATGCAACGATCATTATTGGTATTATTTGGAAAAATGTTATTTCTTTACACAGTTGAATGGATTCTCGTTTTTTAATGGAGGCGTTATTAACCCTTCCTCTTAAAAATCACTTGAAATAACGTGAAATCACACGAACGTTAATCGAACGGAAGTTGAATCGAAATGTAATTGAAATCGCCTGAAATGGAGAGAAATTACTTTTTTCGTAATTATTTCAAATTTCTATTTTCCGGTCTTGTCCACTATTTCCTCTTAAACATAAATCCTTAAAATTTCTAGTGAATCGAATCGACGCATTTTAATTACGAAATTATCGACATCGTCTGAAATCAGTAATAATTTCTACCATCCAACCCCGAGCAAATTGGATTTTATCGTATTTTACGATTTTAAATTACTATTTCATAAGAAATGTACCCCAGACATTCCATCTGAAAGGTTAAAGGCAATCTATTACGTCTCTAGGTCATGACTCGTTATGTGTGACGCGATATAAGTGGAAGTTAGAGGTATTGTTGTATAACAGTGACGTATAGTTTACGTAATAAATATATAACCGCCGATTCCTGCATTTACACTCGCATTTGAAATAACAATAACTTGATTTAGATCCAAAGTTTACTATTTGCAAAACTCTTGCAAACTAGCTGCAATCCTCGAAATATGTACTTTGATTATTATTTACTGTCAATTGAATATCACCAGCTTTCTTCGTTCTTATTTTCTTTAATTAAATTTAACAAGGAAAAACACGATAACTATTTTAAGAGATTCAATAAATGCGCCTTGCAACCTAACCTAAATAAAAAACTTCTTCTGCATCGAAACGGTAGTGAAGAATAAGTCTCTCACGAAAATTTTGTCCTTGCTTGTACCTTCATTGATCAGCATCGAACATCAGCCGGTGGTCTACAGTTTCAAGTTGGATTCGAATCTCTGATTTTATCAGTACAACACGCGAGAGGTCCTAGATGACCATCCATCCGTCCATGATCGTATCCAACGAAGTTTAACGCGTTCACGTATGCCTCGGTGTCGTGTTTCGGTCCGTTGGAGCCACGTTTCGTCGAACCATTGTTACGCGATAAAACGATACCTGCGTAATTTTTCTTCTCCTTTCGTCGAAATTTACGGAATAAATTCGCGCGATAAATCCATTAAATCGTTCAGCTTCTCCCTCGTCGGTTGTTTGGAAACAGTAATCACCGCACGTTGCGAAATAATTTTCGTCTCTGCAATCTTGGCGAAAATTCCTCTTGGTTAGGGCGATGGATCCATTTCCACATAAACACTTCCCACTGTTTCACGGAACACTTAAGAGTATTGTATTTACGGACGGTAATATACGTTACTTTGTACTCGTCCTACGACATGACACGTGCAGATACGTTGCACATGGTTTGGTGGCGCGGAAACGGAAGGACGCGCACGGGTCACGCAGGAAGAACCGCGTAATTGGTTCGCGCATGCCCAATAGAAGCAGGGCGCCAAGACTGCGACTTTTAAACTCTGTCTTACGCCCTTCGGAGACCGAGGTTCTGTTTTCCTTACATTTATGGTTCGTATTCACTGTATACTTGATTGGTTAAGTGGGTGACCATCGAGGAAAGAATATTCCTTCTTTTATCGCCACGCAAACGTAATTCTAACTAGAAATCTCAGATTTTTAATCCGTCCTTAATAATTAACCTGTCAAGGCTGGGCCAACTTGCCAAAAGACAAAAGGATTTAAAAATAGCAGAGACATTTCAAATAAAATTTGCAATCTCGACCCTTTCTAGCCTCGTATCGACAAAAAAAAAGAATCCTCCGATCGTAAAAGACCCAACAACGGCCAGGCGCGTCCGTGAAAGGTTAAACGACGCGGTGAGACCGCTGGGCTTCGACGATCGGATCCGGAACGGTCCTTCTCCTTCTTTTTTTTTTTTTATCACGAGAACGACCACAAATCTGATATGAATAAATTATTCGTAGTTACGAAACGGGAAATAACATCATCGCGGAGGAGAGCGGTTACATCAAGAAGGTAGGCGAAGGCGAGGAACAAGGAGAAGCTTTGGTTCAACAAGGAAGCTACTCGTACATGAGTCCCGAGGGGCAGCTGATCACTATTCATTACACAGCTGACGAGACTGGCTTTCACGCGACCGGTGAACACATTCCCACGCCACCGCCAGTCAGCGAGGAGATTCAGAAAGGCCTCGACCTCATCTTCGCCGGCATTCGTCAGCAAGAAGTACGTCCCACGACTTTTTCTTTCTCTTCATTCTCCGATTCTTCCTTTCTCCTGATGCGTTTCCTTCTACGTCCGTGCCCTTTCCTCCTCCACGCGTTCTTCCTGTTCGGCGCGTCGGCCGCCGCCATTCGGTTCGAATACCGTCCTCCGCATACTTCGTTCTACATTCACTGCAATTTCATTTGATACACTGCATTGGCTCTCTATACAGTAGCATTCAAAAATTCCCAATACCACGACTCTTCATTTTTCATTTATTTTTATTATAAATTTTAGACAGACAAGATCTGATCATTAATAATTTCTCACAGACTGATAAATTTTAAAGCAATCTGGAATCCCAAATGTGGTAGGCTTAAATGAAATTAGACATCGTGGATTATAGTAAAGAATAAAAATTGTTAAAAAAATTAGGCGCCAACGCAGTGCAAAATCTAATCTTCGTTTGGGTTCCGTCTTCCTTCTTCGAAGTAAATTTTCTCTTGCAATATCGCTTGATAAAATCATCTCTGTCGGATGTTCTTTCGCAAGACGCGGCGCGTCACACATATGCGACTTATGGCAGCGGGCATAAGCGTGTTAACTATTCGATCCTGACTTTCTTTTTCCTTGTTGCTTTAGAAACACATACTGGTTTCTCCGGTAATTTTTCTTACATCTCTGTAATTTCTACTCGCGTCGAGTAACTTTCGATAAATGGCTGGTGGCAATTTTATAGTCAATAACCACGAGCATAATATTTTCAGTATTCCACGTAAACAAATTATGCAACGCACAGTGGTCGTTTCAATGAAACGTTTCAGGAACCAACGAAGATATCGTCTTCACTTTTTCTTTTGTAAATGTAGTGGTCCAGAGGAGCCAACATTTTTGAGAAATTTCTTCGATATTGCTCACCACTTGTTTAAATTTATTGCTTGTGAAAAAATTGGCCCTCCAAAGTTAATTAAAAGAATTCAAGATTTCTGAGGAAAGAGCTTGCAAGATTTCGTTTGGATCGCGTAGGATAAACTTTTTATTTGATCGAGGAAGTTATATCTCCAATGAATCACACTCGACCGAAATAATTTCAGGAGGCAGACGCACGCGAAGCGGCCCAAAAGACACAGCCGCAGCCTTTCAATCAGCAAGTCGAGCGACGAGACAATTACGAGAGAAAGTTCCGGAAATGAGGTGTACGAAAACCGAAAACATTGTTGACGCACTATCGATGTATATTATCTTTTTGAGAACTAATAATGAAGTCGTTAAATTAAGAGTAGTTTAATGGAATAAATTTACGTATATTTAATTTTCATTATACACACTCGTGGATCGCGTGGTGAATTAATTCCCTTCCTTCCATAATAACGATTCCCCCGATCACGGAGGAAGAAAGTAGCGACGGTGTAGTGAAACCTGCGACGAGGAACTCAATTTTCGGTACGTCTCGATATTACGGTTGGCCAGGACCATTAAATTTAATCCTGACAGATGAGGCAAGATAGAAAAGTAGAAACTGAAACTTGACACGTGGAGGATGATTCATGCTGATATATCGGGAAGTGAATTTACATAATAAACGAGTGAAAGATATTTACACGAACGTACATCGTTTCTATTATAATTTTATCGAGATAAAGAACGCGAGAGAAAATATTTTTAAATATCCAACTTTTGCTTTTCATGCATCCTGGAAAAAAAATTTGAAACTGATCGGTAATTGTAGATTTTACTCGACCACCTGAAAAGATTAAATAATCGTATTAATGGAAACATCGTCGTTTTGGTGACTCTTATATTTTAACATCAAATACTCGTACGTGACATTTTGACAATTACATTAAATGTAGGACTAATACAATGAAGATATACTTTTATACTTCTTCTATTAATTAGTTAATGGAACCAGTGTGCCGGGTGGAATGAAACTGAAACAAATATTCGCGTATTTAATTTGTGCAAATTCGGAGTTTGAAATGTAATATTATTTTTTCAGGATAAATATTCAGGTGAAATAACAGAAAATTTAAAATATTGTCAGTACAGCAAAGAGTACACTATTTGGCTGACGTGTCTGTGCATTGCCCACCATTTCTACTTAATGATAGTATAATACTATCCATTTTCCATCAATCATACTATCATTTAAACATTTAGAAATCATTAAAAAATAAATATCATGCTTGGAGTAATTTGTATAAAAATAATTTTTTGCTGACCATTACTGAAATATGAAAACCAGAATTTTAAAAAGTTGATAAAGTAAGAATAAATAGAATTAGTAATTAATGGACGTTTTTAATTTGTATAGTGGGGAGCAGAAGAGAATGCCTCTGGATGGAATTCGTATTAAGTAATCGGAATTCTTAGAGAAGGTCGTTCCACCATTATTCAAGATTTCATATCGCATAAATGAATGTTATTACTATCATAAAAACGCATTTTATGTGTGAACAGGCGGATTTCTCATACAACGTGGATATCACTCAGGGGCAATCTTTATGGCACCGTATGGGCACTCAACACATAAGCTTGTAAATTTGTACTATCGATTTCCTCAGAATGCTTTATATTTAGAATTTTCGATACTTTAAATCATCGTTTCAGTTCGACTAACGGAACGATTTGTTTAGAGCAGTTAAAAAATTTGTGTCAAACAACATGTATCGATATTATACAGGGTGTTAATAGGGGATTCTAGAGGCCAAAATAAGACGAAAATCAAGAATGCCAATTTGTTGATGGAGGCTTTCTTAAAAAGTTATTAACAATTAAATTCAAAAATTCCAAAACGTTCTGGAAAAATTATTTTCGGTTACGGGGGTCAATTAAAATAATTTTTGGTGAATAGACATACCTTCGAAATTCTACTCACTTTCTAGAAAAAAAATCGACAAGGTGTGAAATTTTTCGACGGGGAAAAAAAATTTCAAATCATTTTGGAAAAATTATTTACGGTTGCAGGGGTCAATTACAATCACTTTTGATGAATAGACATACCCCCGAATTCCTACGCACTTTCGAGAAAAAAATTCCTTACCGAAAATCTAATTAGGTACCTAAAGACGAAAAAAAAAACTTTCAAATTGTTCTAGAAAAATTATTTTCGGTTGTGGGGGTCAATTACAATAATTTTTGGTGAATAGACATACCTTCGAAATTCTACTCACTTTCTAGAAAAAAAATCGACAAGGTGTGAAATTTTTCGACGGGAAAAAAAAATTTCAAATCATTTTGGAAAAATTATTTACGGTTGCAGGGGTCAATTACAATCACTTTTGATGAATAGACATACCCCCGAATTTCTACGCACTTTCGAGAAAAAAATTCCTTACCGAAAATCTAATTAGGTACCTAAAGACGAAAAAAAAAACTTTCAAATTGTTCTAGAAAAATTATTTTCGGTTGTGGGGGTCAATTACAATAATTTTTGGTGAATAGACATACCTTCGAAATTCTACTCACTTTCTAGAAAAAAAATCGACAAGGTGTGAAATTTTTCGACGGGAAAAAAAAATTTCAAATCATTTTGGAAAAATTATTTACGGTTGCGGGGGTCAATTACAATCACTTTTGATGAATAGACATACCCCCGAAATCTTGCGCATTTTGGAGAAAAAAATTCAGTACGGGCGGAACTTTAAACGTTAATAACTTTTTAACGAGGCCTCCATCAACAAATTAGTATTCTTGATTTTGGTCTTATTTTGGCCCCCAGAATATCCCATTACAATTTTTCGAAACACTGGCAAACGAAATAAAATTAGAAAGAACCTGTTGTTGTATGTTGTATTATCCTCCATTGGAGTAACAGGAGGACAATAACATGGCCTTCGGCTCCACGGTTTTTCTACTTGATTCGTAGAGTCAACGGGCTGGTAACTCAGTTGCATCGTAGTTTCAGACAGCATTGGAACATCCGGTGAGCTATATTTGCGTAGTGGCGCGAACGATTGAACGGGCGTCAAAGGTTTGCAACCATTGGGTATATAAGACAGCCTGTGAGTCGTGCAGCCTGCAATTTGATACATCAAGATTTATTTATTTTTATGAGAAAAACGTCAGTCTCTGTCACCAAACTTTGTCACAAGATGGCAGCCGCTAAAGTTGAATCGAAGTATGTTTATCAGAGTGGTGGATCTAGAAGACCCGAAAGAGAGCTAATAAAAAAATAATTTAAAATTTGAAGAATTTAAGGATTCAACCCCTTGTAAATTATAAACAGAAGAAATGTTAAAGTTAACGAACACACGTCACTAAATTGTGTGACGCGTGTTTACGTCTCTGTATATATTCTATGATTATTATTTTATCATTGTTAAAACAGGCAACGTGACGTACATTCCATGCAGGTATCCGGGAAAATGAGGTTGCCCTCGGGGCGAATCTCCGTTTCCACTGGCGTTTGCTTCCACGTATAGTCATGTTTCTGTGTAGTTACTTCTTGCATGGGTCCTCTGCCCAACAGTTGCTTGCTGCAGGGTGTTATCGGTGCTTCCGGTTTCACGCACCAATTCCCTAAGAAACTCATCTAAACCAAATATTAAAATAAATCCATTGCCACCAAAAATGAATTACGCGCGCCTCCAACAAGAATACAAATTAAAAAGGTTCGTTTCCGTCTCGATACAACAGATATAAAAATAAATAAAATCGAGGAAAGTTACGGTTTGGATGTTTCTTATTTTTCTTACTCGATTGACAGTGTCGTAAGCAGCGGGACAAGACGAGAAATGAATATTATTAGGCTGTCGAATCGGGTCCCGTTTGCCTCCTTCGCAGCCAAAGTAGCTGAGACGATAAGTGGTGTTATTATCCGAGCAACAACCAGCGTTTAATATGTTATCGGTTTCCTCGATTATCGCGGGCGGACGTCTCTTCTCGCAGTGTGGCCAATAGCTCAATTTGTAAGTGGTGCAACCATCCACTGGCTCCACAGGTGGCGTGAACACTCTTTTCGTGTACCATGGCTGTTCTTCCTGAAAAATATTATCAAAACAATCGCAACAGGCTACATCTATCCCATTTAAACGACACCAAAAAAAAAAAAATCTTGGTTTGGACATTTTTCAAATATCAAAACTTCGTATACAAGATGACGATTCTTTAACACTAGATTTCCCAAGGAAGTCATTTTGACTGCTTTTTAATTTCAATTAGAAAAACAATTATGTATATAATGACACAATTTCTTAGAATTTTGTGACTTTTTGTACGACATATAAATGCGTTTATTAATAATTGTAGTTACCTCCCCCCTCCTTCATTTTCGGTATATATTATATGTATGTGTTATACCTATATTGCCCAGAAGCAGTAATTTTGACTGCTTGGGAAATTTTAAATAATCAAATGACTCTTATTATTGAATCGAGTAAATTTCTTATATGAAAAGTTCGGTTCTGTATTGAAATAACAGTTTTCATATTTTTTTTTCGATTACCAACACATGATAACATACAAGTGCATGATAAATTCTCAATTTGAGCGTATACTTGATAAGTTGCAGTTTCTCAATAAGCTAAAGTAGTACTTGTTATTCGAATCTTTATGCAGCGATACTTGTTCTAACAAGTTGTTTATTTTATTTCTTTTGCGCCCTAAATTCATAATATTAAAACCTAATATTAAAAATTAATTTTAAACAAATTTCTTTCACAATACAGTTATTTTGACTGCTTTTGGGCAATATAGGTATATACCAAGTTTCAGTCTTTCTAGTGTTAAGCATATAATAAAATTATATTTATAAATGTTAGGAATTTTAAATACCAGAAATTAAATTGAGAAATTAAAGAAATATGTTTATCGCGTTTTTTTACGATCTTCTCACACCAGAAGTGGAGGATTCCAGTTTACTTTAGGTCACATTCTTGATAATCGAAATTACTTTCATGGGAGTATCGCTCGGCCAATAACTGAGCTTGTAAGTCGTGCAGTCCTCCATTGGAACGTCCGGTTTAGCATATTTTCGCACAGGAGCGTAAGACAAGGCAGGCAAGTGGCAATTAGATTGATAGTAGCTCAAATTGTACGTAGTGTCATCTGGGGAATCAAAGGAGCTCAAATTATTTAATGGCCACGCATCAAACTGCAATTACTAATTAATTATAGTTGTTTAATTATTAAATCGATACGAGCAATATTGGCAAACGATTATCTGAGCTAATTATTATTGTTTTTCGCGTCACTTCCGCTTCCGACTTGTTCGATATTAATGTTTTCTCTAATATTGTCGTTCATTCGATTGCAGACTATGAATTTTATCTACGAATAAAACGGAGTTCGAAGAGAAAGTAAACAAGATATATTTCGCGTTCGATGTTTTAAAGTAGAGCGTCGTATTCGATTTTGATGATTTACAGTGGCTCACGAAAATATTCGAACGCTTACATATGCAAACTTGAATGGCCGAAATAATGTACATTAAAGTAACTTGCTGAAACAAGTAGATGCCAATAGGAAGATGGAAGTCTTAGGATTATGCCAGTAAAATTTGAAAAAGATTCAACAACGTAAATAGGAGTTATGATACATTCATTAGAACCACGCATGGCAAGTGACTCACAAAAGTATTCGAACGCTACATGTATTATTAAATTATTTAATATTAATATTTTGTTGGACCACCTTTAGCAGTTATAATGTCTCTTAGCCGACGTTCCACGCTATAAACCAATGATTTTGTAAAACTACACTCAATGGAGTTCCATATTTCTATAATTTTATTTTTCAGTGTTTGCTTTGATGTTATTTGAAATTTATTTAATCTTTTTCCGATTTCAGCCCATAAATTTTCAATCGGATTTACGTCTGGACTTTGCGGTGGAGTAATTAACATGTGTGGTGTGTTATATACGATCCATTCTTTTACAATTCTTGCAGTATGCTTCGGATCATTATCTTGTTGGAAATGGAAATCTTCCAATAATATTGTTTATTATTATTTAATAATATTGATATTTCAATTTAAATTATTTAAATTCTTAAGGCATCATTACTACCGCACTAAGACGTTAGCTCTGTTTACCAACGTTAGACGAGGACAACAGTAATGGTGTTTTAGAATTATTTAAATTGAAATATCCCCTGAACTACTAATTTTTCGACGTTACATAGTTTGTACTTTTTTATAACGATTGTCCAGCTGAATCGATCGATGTATTAAAAAATACCTCATTTCATTTAAAAAAACAAAGTTGACCTTTATATGACCTTTACGCGTCCACTCACGAAAAAACTAATAACATCAGAATATGCTCCGCTCGATACCATTCAAGCCTCCGCTGAAACATTTTTTGTTACGAGTAACAATAGCGAGAAAATCAAGATGTCAAAATCGGGTGAGACACCCTGTATAGTGATTTGTCGTACCGTGTATCGGTTCCGGTGCACAGTACAAGTTTTGCTGCGCTTTGAAGGGTTGAACCGGCTCCACGGACTTCCATGAATAGTCATGTTTTTGAGTAGTAACGGATTGCAGGGGACCTCTGCCAAGCCACTGTTTCGAGCACGGTGTAATAGAGGGTTCAGTCTTCATACACCAATTACCAAAGTAACTATCCTGAAACAATATCCGTGTCTTAATTGAAATAGCTCGAACCCCAAACAGGGATTGCAAACTCGCGAATACATACTCGAACGCGGGAAGAAATATTAAAAATAAATTCCAAGATGCTTTCAAAGTATAACTCTTTACTAAACGCAATTATTCATTTAGAATTTAGAATGCAAGGAATTTTAGTTAGTATTTTAAATGCGAAAATTTTAATTTTCAAAAAACTACAGAATTTAGTTAATATGCAAGAATATAAGAAATACTTAAAGTAAGGTACGAGTTATTATATCTAGGGGTTGAGACAACCCTCTACAAAGCTTCAATTTCATTAATTTTATTAATAAAAATATGAATTTGCATAAAGATCCGCAGTCTAGTAATTAGTATACGGATATTTATAAAACGAAGAAGCTGAATACTTTTTGTACAGTAAATATATTATGCGAGGGTTAATTGATTGTTTAGGGGCTCGAAGTAACGGCGAGTATAAAATAAATAATGGGGAAATTAGGTTAATAGTCTCGAGGAATGATTTGTAAAAAGAAATTTGAGTTCGTGTAGCTAACTTTGTATGTCGTTTTGTCGGATATTTCACCCTCGCCGGTGGTTAACCAATTCTGCAGTCGAACTGGTTCCACGGTCACGCTGGGACATTCCCAATACGACAGCTGATAGGTTGTGTTTTTATCCATAGGAATATTCGATCGCCAATAGTACTGAAACAATGTATATAAAAAGAAAAGTAAAAATACTGAGGATAAAATGTGAAAAGAAATTTACATTGTGCAGGAATCTCGCGAATTAATTGTGGATAATAGCTTTATTTGTACATGGTAATTTACTTACACGGAGCGGGGCAAAAGATTTGGGTACTTTTGGTTGCACGTATTTCTTGAAAAAATGGAAAGTCAAAAGTAGTAATCGTAACATACAAAGTAAAATATATATTTATAAATTAGAAAAGATACTTACAAGGCATGCATTTTGAGGCACACAACAACAACAACAATTGCAACTTTCATCGTGATCTAACTAAAAAATATTTAATTAACTTATGCACGTGTCTATAGAATTTTATATACAGAAAGAATGTTGTATTTAAAACATATTTTAATGAAATAATAGCCGACTAAATTTGTTAAAAAATGAACGCGTTTAGGCGTTGACTAACTTACACGAAGTTTATTTTTAGCTTCGATGACAGAGTCTTTCTGCGCACGTGTAGGTCTACAAAGAGCAGTAGTATCATTATACAATGGTAAAAATGAAAATGGTAATTGAAATTAAAGTTACAGGTTAGTGAGAGTAAAAGTAATAATTTATATTACTATGGGAGCTCACGGATCAAAAGTACAAATCTCCATGATGTTACCGGTTCTTTCGTAATCAAAAAACAATACTATATCACAAAATTAAAATGACAAGAAGTGAAATTTCCATCATCTTTAATAACCATAAAAATCTGTAAATATTATTATCAAAAATGGATTAACAAAAACGTCGTATACGTGTCGGGCAACTTCATAAATATTAATACGGTATCACAGGAGGCTATGAAATATTAATCGCGAAAGAATATTTGAATTTTTCGAACAATCCCACCGTGAAAATATTAACAAATCCAATGTATTTTTGCGGCCTATTTTTATGGGGTCTCGAAACCCCATTACCATTTTCGTGTCATTCGCAACGTTACCGACGGATTCAGAAATGAATTTTAATCTCTTCCATAGTCAACTCACATGTATTTACGCAAAACTACAGCTGTTTGCCTATCAATACTAATTCAGTGAATAATTTTTCAACTGACCGCCATCCATGAGAAGAGGACGCTGAAATCACCTCCGAATTTTCAGGTCGGTATGGCAGTCAGATTCGGCCGCGAAAGTCCATAAGGTGAAAGCACAGACGAGGTATATGAATAGACCTTTCTTCTTGCTCTCAACACAGCTGAAATTCAATCTCGCATAATCTCGAGCCGAGACTTTCGACTGCCCAGGCATTTTTTACTTCCCGACCTATGTAGGCGCATATAAGCAAAAATCATAATGAAACGAAAATTTCAAAAATTTTCTTACGGAAATACACGTTTTAGGTCCCCCTGATCATATTTTAACTATTAAAAAAAAGACATTTTTTTACTATGCTAATGGACGTGCGTTCATATATTTATACTATTAATACGATTGAGTCTGAACAACCAAATGAATTCAATATAATTTCAAATTTTTAAATCTGAAAATATTTGAGAATACTGCCCTATTTGTCCTCTTTGTTTAGCAATTTAAAAAAACGCTGACTCATTAAAATCAATCATTTGAAATGATCCTATACCTCGTCTGTGATCTAATCCTAAATCGATCTGTAGTTGACGAGTGTATCTGAATTTTTGTGAAAAATTAATACACAATGAAATACTTTCGCGATTGTTACGAGAAATGGAATGGTTTCTGAAGAACGCAGCCATTAGATCATATTATTTGTTATGTAATTAATAATTGTATTAATTACATACTAAATAATAATCCCCAGGTCTCACCACGTGGAGGTTGCTGCGAGTGGAGACCCGAAGGGAGATAGATGGAATCAAAGTTCCATCGATCTCCCTTTTAGCTAAGCTTAGCTGGATTACTAAACTAGAGAGATAGAAGGAAGCAATGTTCCTTCGATCTTCTAGTTTAGTTGTACCAAGTAATTATTTCGTTTGAAAAGGGGTGAAGCTATATTGTGGGATACGCGACGCGACGCGATGCTGAACCGTGCGGCAGATCTTCGGATCGAATCAACACTGCCCTTGGTAGATTGATTTCTATTTCTAGAAATCGATCCATCATGGGTAGGCGACTAGATCTTTCGGACAAACTGGACGGCCGATCACATGTTTCGATCGATGAAACAGCGGTGATCGAAGCTAGGAACCAGAGAACGAGTCGAGAGAAGCTACTTGTTAAATAATTACTTGGCAATATTGGGAGACGCATACAATAGGGACTTAAAATTAACGTCGAAGCTCAAGTCTGGTCAAGTTAAAACTAAAATTCGGACGATAGAAGGAAACAAAGTTCCTTGGATGTTCTGGTTTAGTTGTACCAAGCAATTATTTGGTTAAAAAGAGGGACGAAGTTAATTTGAGGGGCACGCGAAGCGACGCGACGCGACGCTGAACCGTGCAGCGGATCCGAGGATCGAACCTACTGCCCTTGCTAACTAGATCTCTATGGGATAACGGACGGCTGCGACTCCGAATCGAAGGTCTCCATTGCTCCAACGCAACCCGCCGGGAGCCCGAAGGACCCGACTCAAGTTGTCTGACATAGAGAGAGTACCTGAAACAGTGTCGACTTTCGCTGGAAGGTATGCGTTTCCGCAGGATACGGAAACTCCACACCTTCCAGCAAAGTACCATTTTCCCTGGATCGAGCTACCAATGGGAAGGCGATTAGATCTTTCGGATCAGCTACACGGCCGATCACATGTTTCAATCGATGAAACAGCGGTGACCGAAGCTAGGAACGAGGGAACGAGCGAGAGACAAGCTACTTATTGAATAATTGCTTGGTAGGACGCGGAGATACGTATGTATAATAAAGAAGGCTTCGACGTTCATTTTAATACTCGCGACGAAGCTTAAGACTAATCAACTTGCAATTAAAGGTCCCTCGGTGGTTGTGGCGTTCTCCCTCGATGTCCTTGCGATTAACTCAAATTTAAACTGAAATCAAAACTCATATGTATATTAGTGAGATATGGTAGGAAATTTAATAAACACTTTAAAATGATCTATCACCTAGCTAAAGGGAATTGAACAGAGTATATTAGCAAAATGTTACAAGAATTTAAGCTGAGAAGAAAATAATAAAAATCTTATATTAATCAGTGTCGAACAACGAACACGAACGAAAAAACGAGTCAGAGACATCGAAACAAATACGGTATATGCATCGACACAATGTTATTCATATCAAAACGAACACTCCTAATAATGAAAGAAACTTGGATCGAGACACCAAGTTGAATCAACACCAAACAATCAAACAAAATGGAAGAATCAAACAAAGTACCTCCGTAGAATATTACGAGAATTCGAGCAAGAACGTAAAAATATGAATTCATGAATTTGTATAGAAACAAATATAGTGTATGATTGAAAACAATATTATATTATTATATCCTGCAATATTATACATATTGAAGCAGTCACATAAATTCGCAAAACAATGTAAAAGTAGAAACAGAGAAAAGGAACATTCATAATAACCAAATAAAATCAGATAGATAAATAAAGTTGAATTCACATCAAACAAACAAATAAAAATAGTAAAATATAAATAAGTGGAATGGACTTACTACTTGTTGTCAGTACATAGGGTAGTTACCATAAGGGCCAGCTGTAAAGTAAGAAAATATTCATATTATAGCAACATCGGTTAGATAAACAAGTCAAAATCAGTTCATTGAAGCAACATTGGCATCAAATGATAGAATAGAAGAGGGGAGAGAATTTTTAAACAGTTCTTACCGTTGGTCATCACCGTCCGGCACTGGTCAGTAGTGGTCAGTAGTGGCAGGAACGCGAATCAGCACTGGTCAGTAGTGGTCAGTAATGGTCAGCCATGGTCAGCTGTGGTCAGCGCTGGCCAGTAGTGGTCAGCAGCGGCCAGCAGAGGTCAGCAGCGGCCCCCGGTTCTCCTCTGGCTATTTGTACACTCCCGAATTCGCGACGCGACTGAAGAAATCTTCGCAGTGATCCTGCTTATATGTCTAAGGTGATGAAAGGGTGGGGAGACCAGTCAGAGCCAAAGTTGAAGATAACAGGTAAGACTGTCTCGTCTACAAAGAAACTATTTCGATTGGTCCCACCTCTTGACCATTTCTGGATCTTCACTGGACCGCTGACCTTGATGTCCACCTCACTGTTGACCACCAGTGACCATAAGCTAGTCATTGTTGATCATCTACCCATTAAAACCATTACGAAGATTAAAGCCTTCTTACGAGGATTCCCTTACAATTTGATGCATGATCTTTTTAACATTTTGTTCCACTTTGGAAGAGTGTATCTCGTTAATTTTTGTCTTTTTGTACGTCAGTTCCAACAATTGCCATACTGAGCGAAAATTTCGGAGGTGATTTCAGCGACCTCTTCTCATGGATGGCGGTCAGTTGAGAAATTATTCACTGAATTAGTATTGATAGGCAAACAGCTGTAGTTTTGCGTAAATCCATGTGAGTTGACTATGAAAGGGATTAAAATTCATTTCTGAATCTGTTGGTGACGTTGCGAGTGAAACAAAAATGGTAATGGGGACCCGGGACCCCAAAAATTCGGGCCGTAAAATTACATTAGGTGAAAGGTCTATTCATATACCTCGTCTGTGGTTTCAAGCTCTGATTCAAAAAATAATTGTAATAAAATAACATTTAATTTCATCAAAAATTTCAATATCTTTTGGAATGTACTTAATCATGTCTTAATTTTATTTATTTTCAGTTCTTCGAGATATAAGGTTTAACCTTTATTTCGAAGATACACATCAAGAGTCGAGACGGACTACGTGACTCCCACACCCCACTCCCCACTCCTCGCGCGAGATCGTGTCCGATCCTGTTCGTCATTCTTCGTATGGAAAGTGGTGTGAGAAGTGCGGTGACAGCTTCGCGTCTAATTAGGTACGTATTTTTTATTTTTGACCATTTCTATTCTCCTCGTCATTCTCCATCGATGCAATTATACAATATTAATAAGTGCATATTAACAAATTTGTGTTTTATTTCTGTAAGAGCCCGTAATTACAATTCAAACACGGGACGCTCAACTACGGTCAAACGTGTTTTTCATTTTTAACCGGTTCTCTTCTTTTCGTCATTATCCATCGATGCATTTATTCAATATTAATAAGTGTCTGTTAACAAATTTGTGTTTTATGTCTGTGGCAGCTCGTAATTACAATTCAACCACATGAGACTCTCAACTGCGGCCAAACTACGGTCACGCTGTAGACGCGACGCCATAATGCTTTGAGAGTTTGTGAACACGTTTCGACAGGAAACCTGTATCTATACGAAAAAGAGTATTTGGCGATGCTCACGTGCGAAAAATGTAAGTATCCTTTGTATTTTGTTCCGAGTACGCTTTAAAAAAATTGTTTGATTTAAATATGCCATCAAGTTTTCAAATACGGTAGAAACCTTTCGTAAAAACATTTACTCTTTCCTTCTAAAGGATCCTGACATCTCATCATCGTACTTGTGGATCCAGAGAAACTCGACGATGATCTCGCTGCTGACCTTGATGCTGACTTCGTTTCTAACGTCGCTGATGACTTCGCTGATGAATCCTACTAGGCGACATCGTCGCCCGGGTGCTTGAATTCTACAGTTGGTGAGTCGCATGCTATTTTGTTTCCTCTGGTCCCCGACCATGTTGTAGGATGAAATATCCGAATCAACACGGGTGACCAGTTGTATACTTAGTATTTTTGGCGAATATAGTGATCGCGGGTATTTTTTGTACCCAAGCGTAGGAACATATACATATATGCCTACATAGGTCGGAAAGTAAAAAATGTCTGGGCACTCGAGATTATGCGAGTTCGAATTTCAGCTGTGTTGAGAGCAAGAAGGATAGACTCACATTCGCCGCCTTTCTAGAATCCTCGAAGCTATACTTTTTCAATCCCTCCCATAGTCAACTCACATGTATTTACGCACACATTCAGCTGGCTGCCCATTAATACTAATTCAGTGCCTAGTTTCTGACCGCCATCCATGAGAAGAGGCCGCTAAAATCACCTCCGAATTTTCAGGTCGGTATGGCAGTCAGATTCGGCCGCGAAAGTCCATAAGGTGAAAGCCGACATCACAGACGACGTGTGCAAAACAGCAGTTGGTACATAGGGAACTGTATTTCAAGAATTACCCATGGGGTACCAAGTTACTTACGAATCACTCTACAGATACCACCACCATCATTCGAGGAAACCAAACAATTCGATTCCCATCTGGGAACTTCGACTACGAAGTTTCCTCTATAAATCTCATCTAAAATGCCTAACACTAAGCAATAAATTCCCTCGAGAGAAGAATATTTCTATTATATTTCTGTACAAGCAAATGCAATATATTATTTATTTTTCAAACAATAGGTTATAAACTCGTGCATTCACCATAGTTAATTATGAAGAGTCTCCAGGGACGAGGAAAGCACGGAAAATACTAAATCCCTCCACAATTTCCGTTGCTGAAATAATAGTCATCCGTTTGTTACCCCAAAGACGTCAGGGTAGAAATTCCCCTCGGATAGGTTCGCTGTCGCCCCGTGACTCGAAATGCATAACGTCACGCGAGAAAATTAGGCGAAGCAGACTGCACGCAGGGAAATTAGACGATGGCCCGATAAGAAACGCGACTCGTTAACGAACCGACAGGAACTCCGTATTGCTACGTTCCGTGGACGTTATTTTAATTACTATATTTTTAATAGAAATGTACTTATTTAATCAATCAGTTCGTATGAATATCGCCTTCCCGCGCATATTACAATTATAAAAGCGTTTCAACCCAAATGATCTGTTCCACGAAAGTTTCGTGAACGCGTAATCTGTAATATCTGGATTTCGTTCGTCGGTAACCGAAATGGAAAATTTCCCTCGCGTTTCGTTACACTCATTAGCGGACCTTCCGCCTCATACGTGTCATTAATTATTTTTCCCCTGTAACGGAAACACTGGGAAAACTATAAACGTCAGGATGAAAGTTTTCACCCGAATATGCTTTGTTTGACATTATTACCGACGCAATACTCGTTCAAAGCACGAAAATATTCGCTAATGAGGAAAGCTTTGACGACGGAACGATACCAGGTAATGGCGATTTATTGTTTAATAAACTCCCGGTTACTGTTTGACGAGTGAAATTTTTAATTTGCTCAGCTCCATTACAACTTTGTAGATTTTTAAGCTGTAATTGAGAGACGATGTTCCACGATTCTTCGAACGAAGTATGTAGCAATTTAATATGGTAAACTGGCTGAAAATATAAACTTATGTTTACGTTCAAACTGTAGAAGAGTCAGTTAACATAGAAAGTTTGTGTGTGGCTATGAATTTATGTAGACTCGAAGTGTAATAATGTTGTGTTCCCTGTTTAAGCATTTGCGATGTTCTTAAGTAGTTTTATTATTTCGAAACAGTGTCGGACCATAGGTATGCTCCACGTCACATAACTTGGTTTTGTCGCCATTATTCACTCCACTACGCTCAGAATGCTCCCCCAGGAATCTTTTCTAAGTTGTCGAGCCACACCTCAAGTACTTCGCTACATGTATTCCTTCCAGCAAGTATATGTATACATTTCCATACAGATTCCCGCAGTTTACGCGAATTTCAAAGTTCGTACTCAATCATAGCTGCACGTTACAGTCCTCGAATGTCATCCGCAGATACAAATAGTCCCGATGGGTGGAATCGACCAGTCATCGCGGAGTTTTTTCTTGAATAACGTCGCCATCTTGGAAAACGTTCGCCTCGACGAGCTTTACTTTCCTTTTATCTTCCAAGATAGATCTCTTTGCCTATCTTTATTACTCATTTAACAAATATTATTCGAATTTAATTTCAAGAAAAACCTGAATTAATATGGGTCTAGCTGATCTTTCAAAAACTCAAGAAAACAAGATGGAAGACAAAGATCACTTGAACTAAATAATTACTACGATTGTAATAAAGCATTTCTCACGTCAGATTTTCACTAACAATGATTGTAATTGACTCCCACAGTTAAAAATAAGTTTTTCAGAACAATTAGAAATTTTTTAATTTTGTCGAAATATTTCACACCTATTCGTATTTTTTTCTCGGAAGTGCGTAGAAATTCGGGGGTATGTTTGTTCACCAAAAATGATTGTAATTGATCCTTACAACCGAAAATAATTTTTTTGGAACGATTTGAAATTTTTCTTAAAAATTCGGTTTTGATTTTTAGTAATTTTGTTTGATGCCCTATAAAAAAGTTGTCTAATACTTTTTTGTAGGTATCCATGAGCTCTACTTCAGGAAAAAGTTTCATTGAAATATATTCGCTATTGTAGGAGTTATGATCATTTGAAAATTGGACCATATTTATGGGGTTTTTCTAACTTTACGGGGTTAAGTACCAACTTTCCCAATATTCTTACAATTTCTACATATTTTTCACCAAAATAAGCGTTGTTTGCCGATTCAAAAATTAAAATCGTCCAATCCGTTCAGAAGTTATGATGTTTTAAAGATTCGCATGAAAATTCCTGCTCATATTTCTGGCCAGTAATGATATTTTCGCTAAGAAATTTTTTTCTCGAAAATGTGTAGGATTTCGGGGGTATGTCTATTCACCAAAAATGATTGTAATTGATCCTTACAACCGAAAATAATTTTTTTGGAATGATTTAAAATTTTTCTTTTACGACGAATAATTTCTTCACCTACTCGAATTTTTTTCTCGAAAGTGCGTAGGATTTCGGGGGTATGTGTAATGACCAAAAATGATTGTAATTGACCACCGCAACTAAAAATAATTTTTCCAAAATGATTTGAAACTTTTTAATTTCGACGAAAAATTTCTTTACCTAATCGAATTTTTTCCCTAAAAATGTGTGGGATTTCGGGGTTATGTCTACTGACTTAAAATGATTGTAATTGACCCCCGTATATAAAAATAATTTTTCCAGAATGACTTAAAAGTTTTTTTTTTCACCGAAAAATTCCAGATGCTCGAGTAGAACTTTTCCTAATGTCTTCCTGAACCAACTTAATTTTGTTATTTAAACCTCGATAGCCACGAATAATAAAAACAATTATTTCGATATTTTTCCAAATTTGTGTGCCTCACGATTTCTCGTCGAGTCGCGAAGATGGCGCGAGGGCAGAAAAAACAAGTCCTGACATATGAAGCGTCCGAAAAGCGTTTTATCGGATGGTATCCGTGGTTAAAGGTCAAGCATCTCATATCCAGAGGTTGGCCTCAATGCCACGCGCTAGGTTTTCCCTCGATCGTACGTCCTCGGGTTCCGGGCGCGGGCCAAGTCGTTCGCTAAATCGTCGCCGGCTGGCTTCCGGTACAAAGAAATCTTATGCATACGGGTGAATAATCCCTCCCCGGTAGAACGTAATGGCTGCAGTCCTTCGAGGAAGTAGGACAACCAATATTAAATTCTCACGGTACGGCAAGAAGTCCAACATCATCTCCCATGGAAGGAGCCTTTTTCGCGAACGGGCTCCTCGCAAATATTGACACGATGTTTTCCGCTCGTGTTTCGTGCTCTCGCTGTACCGTTCTACTTTAACGAATTCCTTCTATCGCGAAAAACTTCATCATCTCCCGGCGCCCCTCGTCCTGTTCCGCCGTCCTCTTCTATTTTTCCGTTTCGTAATCGATGGAAGAACGACCTTTTAGCCCCGAGAGCTGACGTTAAATCTTTTTTTGCAACTTCGTCGATTCGGCGCGAATGGATAAGGGAGCAGGGACTTGTTAGCCGACTGATTCAAGTGGACAAAAGCTGCACAATCCGCCAAATAGGTGCCGTCGAAAGGGACAACCTCCCCCGGTCCTTCATTGTTCCATGTTCTCTCTATTCATTCTCTCTGTTACTTCCCGAGGATCTTGAACGGGATCGACGAAAAAACGCTCGTTGAATTATTTAACTACGACGGGCCGTCGTCGCGTGCAACTATATTCGATTACGATTTACCTTGAACCCGTTTCTTTTGCTACGATTAATTATTTAAGCTCTTCCGTGTCGCCACGTTTTTCGTTTAACCGGGGCAAATGCAAATAATAATTTCTATCCTCGCGTGTCCATTGCACAATTGTGTAAAAATAGCGCGAATACATTTCTTTCGCGCGAAACGCCAACGTTGACGGTAGCTTGTGTTTGTTCAATACGTTATAAAATATTGCAATTTTACATAACGCGGCGTGTTGTTCAGGAGGTACGCCGTAAATAAAAAAAAGTTTAATTAATTCTGTTTCGCGACAGCTTTCGAAAGAATTAATTTTAAACACGGGCCTCTCACGGTGCCTCTCTCGCGGACAAAACAAGGGAAAAATAACTCCTAATAAAATATTCCAGTGAACTTTGGTCGTCGATTCGTTTCGATCGAATTCCGTTCAGGCCCCTATTAATTGCCTCGCAAACTGAGCTACGTAATTGTTTATCGGTTAGCGAACGTCGAAGCGTGGGAGGGAGAGTCCCGTCGATTTCTAGCCGCAATTACGGTCGCGTTTTATCCCGCGAGTTTTGCAAGTTCGCGCCCCGAAAAATTTTGGCGATACATCGCCCGACGCGTGATTCGGGTTCCGTTCGACCGACGGATTCTCCTTGCGGGACGAAATCAACGAAACGGAATGACGTTCCA